CACAACATCTTTGTTGGTATGTGGTGCTGAGGATCGAACCCGGGCCGCACGCATGCCAGGCGAGCGCGCTACCGCTTGAGCCACATCCCCAGCCCGAGAATTTTTTTTAATATTTATTTTTTAGTTTTCGGCAGACACAACATCTTTGTATGTGGTGCTGAGGATCGAACCCAGGCCGTACACATGCCACGCGAGTGCGCTACCGCTTGAGCCACATCCCTAGCCCTTAAAAGAATTTTTGATGGACTTTATTTTGCATATTAATTTATTTATATGTGGTGCTGGGATTCGAACCCAGTGTCTCACACATGCTAGGCAAGCACTGTACCACTGAGCCACAACCCCAGCCCCCTTATTTTTATTTATTTATTTTTAGTGTGGTGCTGAGGATCAAACCTAGTGCTTTGCATGTGCTCGGTGAGTGCTCTACTGCTGAGCCACAACCCCAGTCCAAATTCATAGATTTTATATATATATATTTTTTTTCTTAATAAATATTATTTATTTATTTTTATGTAGTGCTGAAGATTGAACATAGTGCCCCGCACATGCTCAGTGAGGGCTCTACTGCTGAGCCACAACCCCAGCCCCATCATAGATTATATTGTGATAGAAAAAAAATATGTAACAGAGCGAGGCCCAATAAACTCGCATGCACCTGTAAACCCAGCTATTCTGAAAGCTGGGGTAGGAGGATCACAAGTTCAATACAGCCTGGGCAATTTAGTGAGACCCCATCTCATAAAAAAAGACTGGGGTTGTAGTGGTAAAGTGCCCCTTAATTCAATCCCCAGTTCTGCCAAAAAAAAAAAAAAGTAACAGTTGCTTTAGGGATATGTAATTCAGTGATAGAGGATTTGACTAGCATGTGTGAGGCCCTAGGTCAGTCCCTAGTACAAACACACACACACACACACACACATACCCCAAAGTAACAGTGAAAAGAAAACTTGTGTGTAAGGCTTTGGATCTAATAAAGTTGAGCTCTACTGAAAAACAGGGACAGTCTATCTTGAGCATTATTCAACAAAAACATTACCCAGACCTTCTATTTATCCATATTGCAGGTTACATAAAAAAGGGGTAACGATGGGCTGGGGCTATAGCTCAGCGGCAGAGTGCTTGCCTAGCATGCATAAGGCACTGGGTTAAATCCTCAAAACCACAAAAATAAACAAAGGCATGCTGTCCATCTACATGTAGAATTTTTTTTTTTAAAGGGGGTAACTAGATGTATTCCTATAATCTGAGTGATATGGGAGGCTGAGGTAGGAAGATTGCAAGTTGGAGGCTAGCCTGGGCAATTTAGTGAGACCCTGTTTCAAAAATAAATAAATAAATAAAAAAGGATGGGGGGAGTAGCTCTGTTGTAGAGTGTTCCTGGGTTCATTCCACAGAACCTCAGCAGGGGGAAAAAAAGTGGGGGAGAGTTGGTGGTACCCAAGCTTCTTGTCTTTATATTTTTGTATTAAATATTTTAAAAAAAACTAATTTTGCTTATAAACTTTAAATTAAAATCTTTATTTTTAAAAAGCCATATCACATTGAAGGAATTTTTCTGTGAAATAGTTAAAATTTTTTTAACTAAGATATTTTATAATTAAATAGACTAGGTGGTTACAGCTGTTCAATTTGGTGGAAAAACAATGCCAAGAACAAATAGTTGCTCAGCAAGAACAGTTCCAGAACCAAATTCAAGTAAGTAATCATTTATATTGATTTTCTTTTTTTTGTTTTTAGTATTTATAAGATTTTCAGCAAAACAATTTATACTTTATATCAATTTTTTTGTGAACTAAAGATATGTTTAGAGTGATATATTGTAAACATGGCATTTTTATAACATTTGTAAAAATGTGATGTGAATATAGTTTCTTACCCAATCTTTAACTTCTTGTTTGCAGCGTATACAGGAGGAGATCAGAAATTTAGTCAAACTGCAGATCAGTAATGGTTCTTGGGCTTCCAGTGATAAAAGTCCTTCAAGCAAACAATTATTTTCAGAAAGTCAGATGGGTTTTTTTTCTGAAAATAGTGAAAGAAATGAATCTGTTATTAGTTATCCCGAGCCTAAGGAGCCCGAGATGCAACAAGAAATGTCCACATCACAGCCAGACTGTAATGTGGACGGCAGCTCTGTGAGCAGTGGGTATGGCACCTTTTGTATCTCAGAATTGAACACCTACAAATCCAAGGACCCTGCAGAGCTCATGGAGCACCCAGGCCTTCCCAAGGGACAATACCCAGCACCAGGAGTGCAGACAGATTCGCCTGTAGATGGCGCAGGAAATGGCAGTTTTTATGCACAATCTCCCGAAGAGTTTTGTGAATCTTTAAAGGAAGATATTTCCAGTTTTCCTGATGAATTTGAACATAATTTTCTTGGTGAAAATAAGATTTCTGAAGTATACAGTGGAAAAGCAGATAGGTAAGTAGAATTTCTCCATCATTCAAGAGGATTTTTACTCGTTGATTACATTCAGAATCTAGTAAATACAGTTCCTCTTAACTGGACTGTAAGAGAATAAGATTTTTTAAAAAAAWATGTAACAGTTTTAGGGCTGGGGTTGTAGCTTAGTGGTAGTGTGCTCACCTAGCATGCATGAGGCACTGGGTTCGATTCTCAGCACCACATAAAAATAAAGACAATAAAGTCCATCAACAACTAAAAATTCAAAAAAAAGAAGTAACAGTTTTATCATTAAATTGATTTTTTATTTGTTGCATGTAGAAAATTGAAATAAAGTCTGCTATATACTAAGGACATTTGACTTTCTTCCCATTTGCAATATTATAAGACTATTAAATCTTAAGGTAGGAGGCCTTGCCAGAAAAATATTTTTTATGTTTCTTATAGTGACTAATATACAAATTTGCTAAAAACTTAACAAATTATAATAATTACATTACTAGTGGGATTTTGTCACTCATGTTCATGTGATTTGAAACCAAAACTTATGTACACACATACTGTTTTTTTAAAAAATATTTTTAGTTGTAGATAGATACAATACCTTTATTTTATTCATTTACTTTTATGTGATGCTGAGGATCGAACCCAGGGCCTCCCACATGTTAGGCTAGTGCTCTACCGCTGAACCATAACCCCAGCCCCATACTCGTTTGTAAAAATAAATAAATAAATAAATAAATAAAATAATAATCTTGTATAATTTTGGAGTTTACCCTAAATTTTCTTTTTTTTCTTTTTCTTTTTTTTTTTTAAAGAGAGAGTGAGAGAGGAAGAGAGAGAGAGAGAGAGAGAGAGAGAGAGAGAGAGAGAGAGAGAGAGAGAGAGAGAGAGAGAGAGAGAGAGAGAGAGAGAGAGAGAGAGAGAGAGAATTTTTAATATTTATTTTTTAGTTCTCGGCGGACACAACATCATTGTTGGTATGTGGTGCTGAGGATCGAACCCGGGCCGCACGCATGCCAGGCGAGCGCGCTACCGCTGAGCCACATCTCCAGCCCTAAATTTTCAGTTTAATATCTTCACATGTCAGATGTGTCAGCTAAAGGTGCTTAGCTATAGCAACACAAATCTTATTACCCTCCTCAAGTATAATTATTCATCTTTGCCAATGATTATGTTTTTTTTAAATTAATAAGTTTATTCTAATTTGTTATACATGATAGCAGAATGCATTTCGATTCATATTACACAGTCGGAGCACAATTTTTTTTTTTTTTAAGAGAGAGTGAGAAGGGTGGGGGAGAGAGAGAATTTTAATATTTATTTTTTAGTATTTGCCTGACACAACATCTTTGTATGTGGTGCTGAGGATCGAACCCGGGCCGCGCACATGCCAGGCGAGCGTGCTATTGCTTGAGCCACATCCCTAGCCCAACAATTTTTTATTTCTCTAGTTGTACACAAAGTATAGTCACACCATTTGTGTCTTCATATATGTAATAAGTGTGTTTTTTCTTTCTTTTTTTTTTTAAAGAGAGAGAGAATTTTTTTAATATTTATTTTTTAGTTTTCAGCGGACACAACATTTTTGTTTGTATGTGATGCTGAGGATTGAACCCGAGCCGTACGCATGCCAGGCGAGCACGCTACCACTTGAGCCACATCCCCAGCCCTTTTCTTTCTTTTTTTATGAACCAGGGAACTGAAGTACATCTCCAGCCACCCCCCCCCCCTTTTTTTAAATTTAGACAGTGTCTCACTAAGTCACTGTCCTCAAAACTGTAATTCTCCTGTCTTTTTGGGGGTGAGAGGGGGTGGTACTGGGGATTGAACTCGGAGGCACTGGACCACTGGGCTACATCCCCAGCCCTATTTTGTATTTTATTAGAGACAGTGTCTCACTAAGTTGCTTAACACCTCGCTTTTGCTGAGGCTGGCTTTGAACTCACGATCCTCCTGTCTTAGCCTCCTGAGCTGCTGGGATTACAGGCATGTGCCACAGGCCTAATAAGTGTGCTTTAACAGTAGAGATAATATTTAGTACTTGAAGTGCTGGGGGTGTGTTTTGGTTTTTGTTCTTGTCCATGGCCATGGACTATATGTATTGTTGGTTTTTTTAAAATATTTTTTTAAGAGAGAATTTTTTTTAATATTTTTTAGTTCTTGGTGGACACAACATCTTCGTTGGTATGTGGTGCTGAGGATTGAACCTGGGCCACACGCATGCCAGGCGAGCGCACTACCGCTTGAGCCACATCCCCAGCCCCCTATATGTATTGTTAATCACTGTTAGTCTCTTTGCTTTCTTTGCCTTTGGTAATTAGAAATTGAAAAAAGAAATTTAGGTGAATAACTAAAAACCCATCATCTTTCCCCTACTAGAAAAACAACTCCAAGCATTTCCCACTGAAGCAGTATTTATTGTGTTTTCCCTTATATGTGAAAGACAGTATCTAAAAAAAGTATCTTGGCTTTCTCTTCTTTAATAGTAAATCCATAACATCATGGGCACAGAAGCTGAAGCAGAACCAAACCAAGAGAGCACATATAGAGGATGGATGTTCAAAATCTAAGCAGGGGAGTGAGCATAGCAAGAGACCTCCCAATGAGAAGGTAGGTACTGGTCCCCTCTCTGGCTGCCTGAGCTCTTGGGCTTGCCGAATTCTCAGTGTCATAATTTTTTTTTTTGCCCTTTCTGTTAATTTGTTCAATTACAAATTTTTCTTTTATTTCAAAAGATTGAATATAATGATTTGCTGTAAATATTGCTTCTTTTGTAGCCTGGAAATTAGCTCATGAGGGATAAAATACTACAAGCATGGATCATTTGTAAGGGTCTTCTTTCTTTGTGAACTGCGAATGTTTACATTTAGCCTGAGAGTAACCCATTTAATGGTTTAATAAAACCCTTCAGGGCTGTGAGTGGAGCTCAGTGATGGGGTACTTGCCTAGCACATTTGAGGCCCTGAGTTTGATCACCCAAACAAACAGCAGAAAAACCCTTCAAATAATTCATATTACTATTAAGTTGTAAGGAGTAGTACTCTATGTATTGAAGCCTTAAGGTGCCTTTATAAAGATATTGAAATTTGGACAATTATGAATTTGTAATCCAAATTACAAGAAATTGAATGTTTAAATTGATTGTGGCCCCCATGCCAGTTTAGTAGTTCATTAAAGAGTTCTAGACATGGAGTAAGTTTCAGTACTTTTTTTTTTTTTGGCGGGGGAGGGTGGGTGGGATACCAGGAATTCAACTCCTGGGCACTTAACTCTTGAGCCACACATCCCCAGCCCTATTTTGTTCTTTTTTGTGTGTGTGTGTGTGTGGAGCTGGGGATTGAACTTGGGGTCTTGTGCATGTGAGGCAAGCACTCTACCAACTGAGCTATATCTCTAACTCTCGATCTTCCTGCTTCACCCTCCCGAGCTGCTGGGATTATAGTCACATGCCACTGCACTTGGCCAAGTTTCAGTATTTTGGTATAGCCTTTGTTGGTCTCAAGTATCATAGAACAGCATTACTTAGTATAATATGTTGAAATTGCGGGGCTGGGGATGTGGCTCAAGCGGTGGCGCGCTCGCCTGGCATGCGTGCGGCCCGGGTTGGATCCTCAGCACCACATACAAACAGGGATGTTGTGTCCGCCGAAAACTGAAAAATAAATGTTGAAGTTTCTCTCTCTCTCTCTTTAAAAAAAAATATGTTGAAATTGCAAAGTCTAGTCTTTCTGGAACCTGATAYCTTTAGAAGTTGGTTGTTGGCTAAATCTTGATTGTCTTAAATATAATCTTTTCATCATCCAAGGCTAAAGATCTGTTAAAGAAGTCATAAGAAGATGATTCCCAGCCTTTATAAGTAAGGCACTACTTATTTCCCTTTTTTGTACTTTATTTTTGGTGCTGGGGACTGAACACAGGTCCTCATATGTGCTAGGAAAGCATGCCACCCCTGAGCTACATCCCCAAACCCCTTATTTCTGTTTTCAACGTGTGATATTAGGCTTTCTAATATCATCCTTCTTTGAACTTTTTCAGATTTGTGTTCAGGAGGAGGGAAGTGAAGGTGAATACAGCTGCATGAAGCATAAAAACTTTTGTAACCTAGAAAAGCCCTTTGGTGCCTCCTGGGCAGTTCTGTTCTTTTGACTCATATGCTATCAAGGATGGGCTGTCCTTGTGTGTGTGATAGCATGCAAACTTTTGGAGACAGATAAAAACCACTTTTTTGATGTTGTTCTTTTCATACGTTGGCATCAATGGAGAATGTTCTCTAATGTAGTTTCTTCTGTTGTTTGGAAGGCCAAAACTGAAACTCCATCTCTAAAAATTTTTTTTTTTTTTGGTACTGGGGATTGACATCATGGCCTCAAGTGTACTAAATACCTGCTTTTACTGCTGAGCAACACCCCCAGCCTCAAGACTTTTCTCCTTTGTGTTATGTATTTGGTGGATTCAGTGGGTTTTTTTGTTGTGTTTTGTGATTGAATCTCAGTCTATATTTGATGTAGTCCAGTGGTTCCCAAACTTTACTGCACATTAGAACCACCTGAGGAGGTGGAAAAACATACTTATCTCGGCTGCCAGGCCCAGGTGTCCTGACTGCCTTGGCGTGGGGGGGTAACCTGTGTTTGAGGAGTTTTAAAAGCTCCTCAGGTGATTCCTATGTGCAATGCAGTTTGGGAAAGGCTGGCCAGCCTAGCTTTCCTCCTCAGGTCAAGGGTGAATCAAATTAATTTGATTTGCTACCGCTGCCTACCTGTTGCTCAGAAATGCCCTTCTGACAGCATCTCTCCCCTGGCATCTGCAGGGCAGCCAAGAATCTGGCAAGAGGTGATGGTCCCCTCTGAGTCTTTTCCTTTTTTTTGGTTATCTCCTATGCATGTTTAATTTTTCATTTTTTTTAGGTGAATGATATATTTGGTATTGAATTATTTGGGGGAAATCAAGTTTCTTTGTATTTCTGAACTTTGAATGATTTTGAGGTGTGCTGGTTGGTGAATCAGAGGCAGCACACTTGAAATGCATTCTTCCTGCATAATTCTGGCTTCACAGAGTGGGCACTTTCCTCTTGATCCTCTTTCCCTGTTGTTTTCAGTTTCATTCTAAAGGGGGAATGCTTATCAGATTCTCTTCTGATCTAATTTTCTTTTTGCACAGTGCTGCTTTATTTTGAGTAATAGCTGCTTTGAAGTACATCTTGAAATTGTATATTGTTTAGCAATAAGTGTTTTCTAGAGCTCAAGTTGTTCTTTGTTTCCTTGGTCCTTTGTCTTGGATAGAAGTGAGTCACCCATTTCCCAGGCTGTAGAACTTCTGAGTGTTTCTCCAGAGGGGCCCCTTGACTTGCAAGATTAGCAGACCCTCGTGCTCAGCTTGGACTGGCTTCTTTTTTTTTTTTTTTTTTTTTTTTAAAGAGAGAGTGAGAGAGGAGAGAGAGAGAGAGAGAGAGAGAGAGAGAGAGAGAGAGAGAGAGAATTTTTTTTTTAATATTTATTTTTTAGTTCTYGGYGGACACAACATCTTTGTTGGTATGTGGTGCTGAGGATTGAACCCGGGCCGCACGCATGCCAGGCGAGCGCGCTACCGCTTGAGCCACATCCCCAGCCCGTTGGACTGGCTTCTTGAGCTCAGAGGGTTTATGTTTTAGAAGGGCTTTTTGTTGCACTATGCTTATATTTTCCTCCAGAGCAGGACATGTTTTCTTCAGTGGTGCCTTGTCTGCCTTCTGCGGGCAAGCTGCTGTGTGCAGGGAGCCCTGCGCCTATGGTGTCCACCCAGTGCACTGAAGCTTGTGCTTCAGTGCGGCAGGGAGAAGTGTTCTACTTGGGATTGTTAGATTTGGACTTCTCCAGCCACCTTTCCTGGTCCAATAGGTAGGAGTTTTTTTTTTTAATTTTTATTTTAGTTGTAGATGGACACAATACCTTTATTTTTATGTGGTGCCGAGCGAGGATCGAACCTAGGGCCTCCACATGCTAGGCGAGTGCTGTACCACTGGAGCCACAACCACAGCCCCAGGTAAGAGTTTTAAGAAAGGAAGTAGATTGAGGAATTTGTCTCTTGAAAAAAAAGAGGCTGAATGGTGCTTTTTAGGCTCGTGTGATTAACGTCCTCCTATAGATAAAGTGTTGTCATCTCAGTTACTGTTGCTCCTGCAGTGACTGCATGAGTGGTCGTAAGCAAATACAATTTAAAGACTTTTAAGAGGGCTGGGCAGAGTCAGAGAATGTGAGTGAGGTGACCTGGGTGGATTTCCCCATGTAGAAAAGTTGTTTAGTTGCTGGGGGGTTAGCCCAGGGAGTATATTAACCTCTGGAAATCATTTTAATTTTTATTTTTCTTTTCTGTTTTTTTTTTTTTTTTTTTTTTTTTGTACCAGGGATTGAACTCGGTGGCACTCAACCACTGACCCACATCCCCAGCCCTATATTTGTATTTTATTTAGAGACAGGGTCTCACTGAGTTGCTTAGCACTTTTGCTAGGCTGGCTTTGAACTCGTGATCCTCCTGTCTCAGCCTCCTGAGCTGCTGGGATTACAGGTGTGCACCATGGCACCTGGCCACAACATTTTAAATTTGAAAACCTCTGTGAGTCAAGGATAAGATCTGTTTTCCTGTGACCTCAAGGAGTCAATAAACTAGGATTTACAAGGTGGAAGCTATTGAAAGATGCATTTCTACCTAATTAATACTATCTAGAAGTATTAGAGACAAATTTAGGCTTACTTTTAGATTCTAGCATTACACTTTATAAAAATGGTGGAGTTCCAGGCACAGTGGCACATGCCTGTAATCCCAGTGACTTGGGAGGCTGAGGCAAGAGGATCACAAGTTTGAAGCCAACCTCAGTAATTTAGTGAGGCCTTGTCTCAAAAAATAAAAAGGACTGGGAATATAGCTCAGTGGTACAGTGCTCCTGGGTTCAATCCCCACTACCAAAAATTAAAATTAAAAAAAAAAAAAAACAACTTTTTAACGGGAATGAAAACTTTCATGATGGAGGAACTGATAAGAAAAGCTTCCATGGGGCCAGGTGTGGTGGCGTACACCTGTAATCCCAGCAATTTGGAAGGCTGAGGCAGGAGGATTGCAAGTTTGAGGCCAGTTTTAGCAATTATTGAGACCCTCAGCAACTTAGCAAGACCTTGTCTCAAAAATAAAAAGGGTTGGGGATGTAACTCCATGGAAAAGCACCTCTGTATTCAACCCCCAGCACCCCCACCCAATATAAATAAATAAATAAATAAAGGTTCTATGGAAATATCCATGATACATATCTCTGTTTGGAAATAGATTTCTTGTGGCAATCAGAGAGATTGTGAAGAGAAGTTAATACAGTATTTTTATCAGAATGGATGATAATAAGCATTTTTAGCCTTTTTTGTGTCTAATAACCAATTGTGTATAAGAAATACTTTACTATTTAAGGTTCATATTATTGATATGTGATCTTCAGAATTAATTTGATTTGTTATAGTTGTAACAAAACAAATTGTTAAACATTTATTTTTATCCTTTCATTTCAGGCACCTCAAATTTCTTTTGGAAGTAGACAGCAAATGATAAATACATTTTTGTTCTAAACTCATTAGACTCAAGTTTTCTCTTTGTAGTTTCACAGAGAACCAGAATGAACTTATGAATTACACAGGGGCAGGAAAGTCCTTCACTGTTGGTCCTCTTGCTTTGTGCTTTTTTTTTTTTTTTTTTTTTTTTTAAAGAGAGAGTGAGAGAGAGAGAATTTTTTAATATTTATTTTTTAGTTTTTGGTGGACACAACATCTTTGTTGGTATGTGGTGCTGAGGATCGAACCCGGGCCGCACGCATGCCAGATGAGCGCGCTACCGCTTGAGCCACATCCCCAGCCCTGCTTTGTGCTTTTATAACTAGGGAAAGCAGGACCTTCTTCCTCATGGACACACTGTAGGTCTTTACCTGGTGTGGTGCTGGTGGTCACTCATTGGGTCAGTGGTGTGTATGCAGTGATTTTAGTGGTCTGGTGTTTTCTTTCTTGACTTGCAGTCTGATTTTGCTGCTGCTGCTGCTGCAYACCCTCGTGCTTTTTACCTCTCTAAACCAGATGAAGATCCAAGCTCTTGGATGTCTGATTCAGGAACAGGTATGGAAAACTTTTAATTTTTGGATTTTTTTTTCCTTTTGCCCGCAAGGTTCTGGTTTGTTGGTTTAATTTTTTTTGCAGCTGGCTGCATTTCCCACTCCATAGTGATACCACACTTAGGGTAGGAGTATGGTTTGTGTGAAGGCGCCACATGTTGTGGCATCCCCTGGTAGCCATGACTTTCTTGCTTGCATTAATAAGTCTGTAAGGACAGAGGAATGAGGTACTTTTGCAACAATTTCAAATGGCTGCAAAAATCATCTCAGCCTTTTTAAGTTTCTCCAGAATGAATTAATAAATTCAGAGCCTCTGTGAGCCATTTTATGCAATCCTTGGTGAGCTATTCTGGTCTGAGTGGCTGACAAGTTTAGATAGCTCTTCTCATCTTTATATATTAGGGCTCCCTTCCTTTTTTTCCTTTTTCTTTATTTCCCACATCTAATTTATGAGGATGGATTAGCTTTACCTTACAGGTATCACAGGATCCAAGCCAGTTTCACCTCCTTCCCTTCTGTCACCCGTGGAAGGCCTCCCCTCCCCATTTCTGCAAGCTTCCTAACAGCCCTTGCTTCCCCCCCCAATCACCCTCCAACCTGTCCTCAGCAGAGTGGTCAAAGGGATCCTTTCAGAAGATATGTTAGGTATGCGATTCCTCTGCCCTGAGGCCTGCAGTGGTTCCCTGTTTCCTCAGTATAACAGAGATCCATGAAGCCCAGCACGCCTGCTCCAGCGTAAGCCAAGTTCTCATTTCAGGGCTTTCTCATCAGCTGCTTCCTCTGATGAAAGTGTTCTTCTCTCCATGTGGGGAGACTTCCTCGAATGGTGAAAATGGCCACATACCTAGTAATCGCTACCCTCTCAGCTAGCCAACCCTGATCACCCTATGAAAATAGTCCTGCCTCCTCCCTGAGCCATATCTATTATGAAACTTTACGCTGAGTGCTTGTCATCTTGCAACCTCCTGTGTATCCTGCACTTGTTCACTTCTCATTCCTTCTGCCTCGCAGCCTGGCACAGTGAAAGACATTGTCTGTTTTAAAATGTATTTTAAGGGCTAGGGCTATGGCTCAGTGGTAGCGCACTTGCCTGGCATGTGTGAGGCACTGGGTTCGATTCTCAGCACCATGTAAAATAAATAAAGGTCTATCAACAACTAAAAAAAGAATAAAATAAAATAAATAAAAAAGTAAAATTTATTTTAAGCCAGGCACGGTGGTGCATGAGGCCCTAAGCAACTCAGCGAGAGCCTGTCTCTAAATAAAATACAGAATAGGGCTGGGGATGTGGCTCAGTGGTCGAGTGCCCATGAGTTCAATCCCTGGTACCCACCCCTGCAAAATGTATTTTAAGTTGCACTAATTCATTTGGCTTTTAATAATATCTGTTTTAATATTTGCATCATTAAGTCAGGATTCTGACATGGTAAGGCATTTATTTGATTCTTTATAAAAATTCAGCTTGCTTTCCCCAGGTAGCCAGAAGCTAGTTCCTTGCTATTTTTCATCTTCCTTACATAGTTATAGTTATTTTAGAAAGCACTTTTGCTCTCTCCTCACTCCTTGTTGTTCTGTGCATTTGTCATGTCAGGACTGACCTACTGGAAGCTGGAGGAGAAGGACATGTATCGCTGTCTGCCTCAATCTTTAGAGAAGACATTTGTACCCTGCACCTTGGCAGACGTGTCACCGAACCAGGTAATGAACGTACGCAGGTGTGTTTGTGTTTTGTGACTGTAGTTAAGTTCTCCGTTGTAAGTTCTGTATTAGACTCATATTCCTTTGCTTATGAATTGTGTCTGACGTTTATTGCCTGTGTGATTTTAGAAAGCTTACTTATTAAAATGGAATTAAAAATGACCAGTTAGTGTTGTGAAACTAAATGAAATGCTTTCATGCCTATCTTCAGCTATTAACAACTTCCCTTTTTCCAAGATCTTCTGATATTGATTTTCCATTCTGTCACATCTCCCACTGATCCATTTGTATCACAATTATGGGAAAATTAATTTGCTCTGTTTTCTTTGAATAAGAAAATAATATTTCTTTCTGTAAACATTTTATTAAGTAACAACCAAATATTATTAAGAACAACCAAATAAATAATACCATCTTGGATGTGTGTGTGATGTACATACTTTATTTCTGTATTTTGATCAGGTAATGAGAGACAGTAGACTGGGAAAGGAGAGAGAATCTAAGAAGCCAATGGTGAGGTAAAAAAATAGTGACATGTAGGAACAGACCGGGTAGTGGGGACATCAAGGTATTTGTAAGTATCAGACTCAGAAAGTGACTGGAACTAATATCCCAAACTTCAGGGAAGAAACAGAGACAGATGAACACAAGAGTTGAATGAATTTTGGGGAGGTGGGATAAACTGAGACCCTGTTTCAAAATAACGCTTTTCTTTTCAATTCAATGTTGGTTTCCATGTTTTTCTACATATCTTTCCACCACCAACAGTGATTCAATGGTTGAAATGGTGATTGAACAATTCTCTTTTTTTTTTTCCCTTCTGGTGCTGGGAATTAGACCCAGGGATGCTTTACCATGCAGCTGTGTCCTCAACTATTTTGAGATAGAATCTCACTAATTTGCTGAGGCTGGTCCTAAACTTTCAATCCTCCTGCCTCAGCCTCCCAGGGTGTGAGATTATAGGTGTGTGTGCCACCACACCCAGTGGTTCGACATTTCTTTAAAAAAAAGGCCATGGTACTGAGTTTTACCTATAGTAATGGCTTGCTTTTGACTCCCCTATAAAAATCATTGCTAAACATGGGTGGTTAACCCTTTCCTTAAATAAGGGCTCTCAGAAATTCTTCTGTAGTCTCCAAGATTTTTATTCTAAGCTGCTAAGACCTATTTGAAAAGTTATGATGGTTTTGATATTTGCTTATGAGCAGGCAGTGACCATTATGTCACAACTGTTATTTGACTTAAAGCAATTGAAAGATGCCATTAATTACCGGAGGCATTCTCACTTCAGAATATTAAAATATGAAAGAAAAGAATATCATAAAAGTAGTGAAAATAGCATCTTATTGTCATGAGCTCTAAGTGTGAATGCCAGCTGCTCACTCAGGCCACCAGGCAGGGACTCTTCAGGCTGTAGCCTATAGCTGGAGTGCTGCTACTTGTCATAAACTTCAGGACTTGTGAAGGGCCTTATGGTCACTGAGTAGAATTCCAAAACAGGATTATGGGAATTGTACATTGTAAAGGTTTAGTTTTTAACAGATTAATGTCTTTATTGCATGCATAAAAAGTATAATTAATTGTCCTGTTCAAAAGCTAGTTATAGGTTTTATTTATTTATTTAAAGTTGTTGATAGACCTTTATTTTATTGTGTATTTATATGTGGTGCTGAGAATCAAACCCAGTGCCTCACACATGCCAGGCAAGTGTGCTACCGCTGAGCCCCAGCCCCAGCCCCTGGTTATAGGTTTTATTAAAAAATATTAATTCATGGTAAGCCAGGTGTGATGGGACCTGTGGTCCCACCTACTTGGGAGGTTAGGTAGAGAATTGGTAATCCCAGGAATTTGAGGCCATCCTGGGCAACATAAAAACAGAAAGGATTCCTGGTATGCTGCAGGCTTTGTAGGTCTGGAAATGAGATATAAGCTCAAAGCTGTATGACGAGTATCCTATCAGCAGATTTCTTGTTGGATCTATAATTTCATTTGTGGTAACATCCATAGTTTAAATTTGAGGCCTAGGTTTAATTGGTACCTGTGTCACAACCCATGGGTCCCACCTTGAAATAATACGACCCTAAAGATTTACTATTTAAAGCTTTATAGTAATTCTGTGACATTTATAGCATAGTAGAGCCCTTGAGCCATATCCCCAACTGTTTTTATTTTGAAATAGGGTCTCACTAATTTGCTGAGGATGGTCCTCAGAATGCTTGAGAATGATTTTAAGCTTTAGAAATTAGTGTTGAGTCTTATTTTAATAATTAAAGAAGTTTATTTTTATTGATTAACTTATTTTCTTTAATTTTTTTTAATTGTAGATGGATACAATACCTTTATTACCTTTATTTATTTATTTATGTGTGGTGGTGAGGATCGAACCCAGGGCCTTATATGTACAAGACAATCGCTCTGTCATTGAGCCACAATCCCAGCCCCTCTTTATTTTTTTATTATCTGCTATAATAAAATAAGTAAGATAATCAAGGGAGGAAAGGGTTTTTTTTGGCTCTTGCTTTCAGAGGCTTGTTTGTGATTGCTTGGCTGTGTTGCTTTGGGGCCTGTGGTGAGGTTGTATGTCATGGCAGGAGCTTGTGGCAGAGAGTACTGCCCGCCTTGGATGCCAAGGGGCACAAAGGAAAAGGAAAGGTCCAGGGTCCCAACATCTCCTTAAAAGGGCCCACCCCCAACTTGACTTCTTTCTACCAGGCCTCACCTCCCAGTAGCGCTGTCAGCTGGGGATCATCCTTCAACACATGAGCCTCTAGGGACATTCAGAATCCAAATTGTAACAGGAATTACCAAGGGGTCATATTCTTTGGAAGTATTCATAGGCTGCTAAATAATTTAGGTTCAAATTGTCCTCTTGGTACTCATTGTTAGGAGATATGAAATTTTTTAATTCTGAAGCAACTTAACATAGGAAATTCAGCTTCCAAACTTGTATTCTTAATCTGACTGTCTAGATTTTCAGTTTATTTAAAAGTCTTTCAAAAAATTTTTATGGTTCTTATCTTGATGTCAGTAAATTTTTTTCATTGTTGATGATACCGGTTAAATAATTTTGTTTCATATCTTTAAGTCTAATACTAGTAATGAGATGAAGCTCCGATCACTGAAGGATATTTATCATAAAAAGCAAAGGGAAAACAAGCAGTTACCTGAGAGGAATCTCACTTCTGCTTCCAACCCAAACCATCTTCCAGAGGTAGAGCTGTCACTGCTGAGTGGAAATGAAAGATGCTTCTGACGCTGACTCTTACCGTGAGCTTCCTTGTCCCCAGGAGGTGTGAAGCCTACTCACTGAAGGCGAGCAAAATGCCTGAGTGTGCCAAGGGAAACTTCTGGTTGTCTGTCTTATTTCTAGGTCCTTACTCTAGATCCGACGTTGCATATGAAGCCAAATCAGCAGATTTCGGGGATTCAACCACATGGCTTTTTGAATGCTCTTGATGACAGAATATCCTTTTCACCAGACTCTGTTCTGGAACCAAGTGTATCTAGTCACTCTGACATCGACTCATTTTCACAAGCAAGCAATATCACTTCTCAGTTATCCGGATTTCCAAAATATCCTTCAAATGCAAAAGCCTCATCAATGGATTCTTGGAAGAATCATGCATTCCAAAGTGAAAGTAGGACCAGTTCCACATTTCCTTCAGTGTACACTATGACGAGTAACAATATCTCAGTCAACACTGTAGATGAAGAGAACACTGTCATGGTAGCGTCAGCCTCAGTCAGTCAGGCCCAGCTTCCAGATGCAGCCAACAGTGTCCCAGAATGCATTTCATTGACTTCCCTGGAAGATCCCGTGATATTGTCTAAGTATGTATTTCAGTGATGGCTTGTAATGTTAACAGATTTTCTGTGATGTCTGATTGAATGATGAGAATGATTTTTTWAAAAATATTGTTTTTTAGTTGTAGATGGGCACAATAGCTTTATTTTATTTATTTATTTTTATGTGGTGCTGAGGATCGAACCCAGCACCTCACATGTGGTAGGTGAGCGCTCTACTGCTGAGCCACAATCCCAGCCCTGAGAATTATTTTTATTGAACCTTAGTAATGTATAAAGATTTAAAGATATAGCAAGTAATCTGTCTTTTTTCACTTTATTATCAGCTTTTGGGGGATTAGAGACAACTGCTGACATAGCCAGTAAACGGGGGATTGAACTCATGGGCACTCGACCACTGAGCCACATCCCGAGCCCTATTTTGTACTTTTCAAATTTAGAGACAGGGTCTCACTGAGTTGCCTAATGCCTTGCTTTTGCTGAAGCTGGCTTTGAACTTGTGATCCTCCTGCCTCAAACTCCTGAGCTGCTGGGATTACAGGCCTGTTGTGTATTTTTATATCTTTATGTCTAGAGGATGCTGAGCACACGGAGCATCTGCTTGTTTCCTTGGGGTGTGCACAGGAAATAGACTGCACTTTGCCCATGAGAATGAGTGTGCTCTTGGTTTCTCCTGTGGGAAGGAGAGGAGGGATGTGCTTTCTCAGTCATGTGCTTCACTCTCACCAGCAGGATTAGGCAGAACCTGAAGGAGAAGCATGCTCGGCACATAGCTGATCTTCGAGCTTATTATGAGTCAGAAATAAATAGTTTGAAACAGAAGCTGGAGGCAAAAGAAATTTCTGCAGTTGAAGAGTGGAAGAAAACCAATCAAATTCTTGTAGACAGGTAAAACTTACATTAACTATGAAGTTAGTGTTTTTCCAATTCGGATGTATTGCCTCTACATAAGTACAATCTATGTTGTGATAATAAACCTTCTGAAAACATGTACTTAGGATTCGAAATTTTAACAGATACATTTCCTAAGTAATTTTTTTTTTTTTTTTTTTTTTGGTACTGGGGATTGAACTCAGGGGCACTCAACCACTGAGCCACATCCCCATCCCTGTTTTGTATTTTATTTAGAGACAGGGTTTCGCTGAGTTGCTTAGCATCTCACAGTTGCTGTGGCTGAATTTGAAATTGCAATCTTCCTGCCTCAGCACCCAAGCCTCTGGAATTACAGGTGTGTGCCACCTGTGCCCAGCCACCCCAGCTTTTTTCAAACTGAAAATTGCAAACAGGGTCATATATTGCAAGCCAGCTGTGATACCAGATATTATGTCACAGTTGCAACCCCGGGGACAATGTTCTCTAGCATGGCAGAGTCAGTGTGGTAATAAAAACAGTAGAATGCAGTTAATATGCACTTGACTCTCTAAGTGGTCTTTCTTACAAGAGCAATCTTATTCCAGGGTGGGATATACCTAAATGATAGAGCACCTGCCAGGCATGTGCAAGACTCTGGGTTCAATCTCCAACCAGACCTCCCAACCCACTAAAAAAGACCAGTTTTTCAGTATTTTATCTTTGAAGGGTATTAATGCATAGTGGTTAGAAGCATAAACTCTAGAGCCTGAGTATTTGGCTTTAGAATCTCAGCGAAGGGGCTGGGAATATAGCTCAGTGGTAGAGCATGTTCTTTGTATGCATAAGGCCCTGAGTTCCATCCTCAATACTGCAAAAAACCAAAAGGTTCAGTGAGGCCCCTTACCCCCATGGGACCTTTAATCTAGGAACCCAATTTTCTTAAAAAAAAAAAAAAATTTTTTTTTAGTTGTAGTTGGACACAATACCTTTATTTTATTTATTTATTTTTATGTGGTACTGAGTTCCGAACCCAGCTCCTTGAATGTGCTAGGCAAACGCTCCACCGCTGAGCCACAATCTCAGCTCCTAGGAACCCAATTTTCTGTCTTTGTTATCTMATCTGTAAAATGGTACTGTTGATCATCATAACTCATAAGATTGTGAGAATAAATGTAATACGTTTAACATAGACCTGGTATATAATCAGTAATAAAAATAAGACTTTTATTCCCAGTATATCATTGAACACTAAATCAAAATGGTGACTGAGTTCTATATATTTTGTTATTTTGAGGTTCTATAATTTACAAAGGAAGTCTTTAAAAAATATTCATACTAAGTTTGAAATAGTACACAAGAATGTAATAAGTGTAATAACCTCACTGGGTACAGTGTCACATGCCTGTAATCTCCCAGAAACTCTGGAGGCTGAGAAGGATGAAATCAAGTTGGAGGCTAGCTGCAACAATTTAGTGAGATACTGTCTGGGGATGCCGCTCAGTAGTAAAGCACTCCTGGGTTTAATCCCCAAAAACAAACAAACAAACAAAAAAAGGTCAGCTTTCCTACTCCAATCCCTGGTCTCAGCGTACTGTATTTAATCTTTCATATCCTTCCAGAAACTATAATGCACGTGCGCATATATGTACACATTTTTTTTTCAAACTCAAGTCAAGCTATTTCTTCCTTCTTTCCTTCTTCCTTCCTTCCTTTCCCCCTGCCCCTTCTCCTTTCTGCTGGGGATTTATCTCAGGGATGCTCCACTACTGAGCCACATCTTAAGTCCTTTTTATTTTTTATTTTGAGACAGGGTCTTGCCAAGTTGCTTAAGGCCTCACTACATTTTTTTTAAGATGATTTTTTAATATTTTTTAGTTTTCGGTGGACACAACATCTTTATTTTATTTTTATGTGGTGCTGAGGATCGAACCCAGCGCCCCGTGCATGCCAGGTTTGAGCCACATCCCCAGCCCTAGGGCCTCACTACATTTTTGAGGCTCATTTAGAACTTTGCTGTCCTCCTGCCTCAGCCTCCCAAGTTGCTGGAATTACAGACATGTGCCACCGTGCCTGGCTTGTGAAGCTTTCTTTCTTTTTAAATTTTAAACACTAAATCATACATAACAAAATTCACCATTTTGAAGTGAACAGTTCAGTGGCCTAAGTGTCTTTTTTTTTTTTTTTTTTTTAAAGAGAGAGTGAGAGGGAGGGAGAGAGAGAGAGAATTTTTAATATTTTATTTTTTAGTTATCGGCGGACACAACATCTTTGTTTGTGTGTGGTGCTGAGGATCGAACCTGGGCCGCACGCATGCCAGGCGAGCACCCTACCACTTGAGCCACATCCCCAGCCCCGGCCTAAGTGTCTTTACATCATTGTACAACCATCATCATCATCTATCTCCAGAACTATTTTCATTTTGCAAAATTCAAACTCTTTAAACAGTTACTCCCTGTTACCTGTTTCCCCCAATCCCTGGCAACCATCATTCTGCTTTCTTCCTTTGAATTTGATTACTCACATAACTGGAATCATGCAGCATTTGTTATCTTGATCCTGACTTATTTCACTTGGCATGATCTTTTCAAGGTTCACCGTGTTATAGCATGTGTTAGTTTCCTTCCTTTTTCACATTCAATAATCCATTGTATGAAGTACCATATTTGTTTAGCTGCTTATCAAAGAATGCTGTGAATAGAGCTGCTGTGAATACAAGTGTATAAATACCTGTTTGTACCTTGCTTTGTACTCTTTTTTTGTGTGTGTGTGCTAGGACTGAACCTGGGCTTCATGCTTGCTAAGCATGTGCTCTACCACTGACCTACTCCTCATCCTCGTTGCATATATTTTTAGGAATCTCTTCCTATTTGTGGGGGTGTACAGGAATTGAACTCAGGGGCACTCACCACTGAGCCACATCCCCAGCCCTATTTTGTATTTTATTTAGAGACAGGGTCTCACTGAGTTACTTAGTGCCTCACTTTTGCTGAGGCTGGCTTTGAACTCCCCTCCTACTTTAGTCTTTTGAGCTTCTGGGATTATAGATCCTATTGTTATTTTAGCCTGTTATTTTCTCCAGATACTAGACCATCTTCAGAGTCTTTGGGATATATTTTACTATGGTGGCATCCTGGATCTCATCTAACATTTGAGAATTTGTCTTATATTACATATTTGGATCAGGTTTATATAATACATTTTAAGGGAAATGTTTTTATTTTGTAATTGAAACTAAACTTTTATGTTTTTTAGATGTGGCCAATTAGATAGTGCTTTGAATGAAGCTACTGGTCGTGTGAGAACACTTGAAAGTAAGAATAACTTGTTGGAAATAGAAGTGGTAAGTATTATTTTTTTCTCATGATTGTTCTAGTGGCTTAATGTTAAAAAAAACCTACTTATTAACTGAACTCCAGAGACATATGATTAGTTTTATGATAACCCTGCTTACCTGTATCTTTTCCTTAAGAATCACTTAGGAGCTGGGCAGTGGCACATGCCTGTATTCCCAGCAGCTTGGGAATCTGAGAGAGGAGGATCATGAATTTTAAGCCAGCCATAACAACTTAGTGAGGCCCTAAGTAACTCAGTGAGTTCCTGTCTCTAAATAAGATGCAAAAAAGGGCTGGCAATGTGGATCAGTGGTCAAGTGCCCCTGGGTTCATTATCCAGTACAAAAAAACCCCAAAACTTATTAAGTTTGCATTTTGAGTTCTACTTTACCCTTTAAAATTCCTCTTTTTTGGGGGGGGGGGGTGCTGGGGCTTGAACCCAGGGCCTTGTACATGTGAGGCAAGCACTCTACCAACTGAGCTATATCCCCAACCCTAAAGCTTATTTCTTAATTGGGATGTAAGTTGCATACCATAGAACTCATTCTTTCGAAATGTGCAGTTCAGTGGTTTAATATATTCAGAATTGTAGAACCATCACCACAATCCATTATAGAATATCCTTAGCCATTGCCCCCAGTACTCTCCTCAGTCCCTGGCCACAGCTGCTCTGCTCTGTCTTTATGGACTTGCCTGTTCTGAACTCTAATGTGAATGCATCATAGACTTTTATGTCTGGCTTCTTTGACTTAGGCTCATCCAGGTTGTAGCATGTATCAGGACTTTATTCGTTTTTATAGTTGATTAATATTCCATTATATCGATGCATCACATTTTTTTTATTCATTCATCATGTGACTGATATTTAGATTCTTTCCCCCTTTTGGCTGCTTATGAGTGAAATTGCTATGTTTGTGTTCAAGATTTGTGTGTGTGATGTGTATGTGTGTATGTGTGCTGGAGATGAAAGATTGAATCCAGGGCTTTGAGCATGCTAAACATATACCTTATCAGTGGGCTACACACGCAGTCCTGTGGACAAGAGTTTATGTGCATATTTTTAGTTTTGGTTTTTTTGAATATGTAATTTGAAGTGCATAAACTTTACTCTTAAATTACATTCTGTTCTCCTGTATTACCAAATTTTATTCTTTTTGTACATTAGCTTATAAACAAATTTTGTGTGTAATCCCAGCGGCTCAGAGGCTGAAGCAGGAGGATCGCAAGTTCAAAGCTAACCTCAGTAACAGCACAGCCCTAAGCAATTTATTGAGATTGTGGTGTTTTTTTTTTTGTTTTTTTTTTTTGAGAGAGAGAATTTTTTAATATTTATTTTTCAGTTTTCGGCGCACACAACATCTTTGTATGTGGTGCTGAGGATCGAACCCGGGCCGCATACATGCCAGGCGAGCGTGCTACCTCTTGAGCCACATCCCCAGCCTGAGATTGTGTTTTTAAATAAAAATATTAAAAAAGCTGGGGATGTGGCTCAGTGGTTAAGCCCCTCTGGGTTCATTCCCTGGAACCATTAAAAAAAATGTGCATTTTGTTCTGTATGTTGTTTCTTTTTTTTGTTTTTGTTTTTATTTGGAATTGAACCCAGGGGCGCTTAACCACTGAGCCATATCTCTAGCCCTTTTATATAATTTATTTAGAAACAGGGTCTCACTGAGTTGCTTAAGGCCTTACTAAGTTGCTGAGGCTGGCTTTGAATTCAGGATCCTCCTCTCTTAGCCTGCCAGGCTGCTGGGATTACAGGCATGCGTCACTGCACCCAGCTTGTTTCTGTCTTTGATGGTTTTTTTTGGTTGTTGTTGTTTTGTTCTGTTTTCCCAGTTATTTTTGTCTCCTTGAGTGTAAGCTTGACAAAGTTAGGCATTATCTTGTTTCTCTATAATCTTGTTTTGAGTTGGGATCTCTCAGTGTTACTTTAGGCTTGTCTCAAATTCCTGGGCTCAGGTGATCCTCCTGCCTCAGCCTCCTAAGTAGCCAGGACTACAGGCATATGCCATCACATCCAGCTTTAATCTTACATTTATAGTGCTCTGCTGCCTGGCAGACAGTGGGTATTCCAGAAATAATTATTGAATGAATATTAACATATTAAATGCATTTTGAGTTTTCTGTTTTCACGTTGTGACAGTAGAGTAAGAAATCCTTCCCCCAAATATTAAGGCTGGGCAACATATTCCAGCTATATGTACAGAATGATTTCTCTTGTGGCTGTGACAGTTTTGTCATTGAGGTGATCTAGAGGCACTGCTATCTTAGTGAGTCCTTAACCTCAGACAGTAGCTTTCTGTCTTAACTTGTGATAACTTCATGAAGCTATTCTAGTAGAGTAATATTTTCTGGTCTCTTCATCTCAGGGTATAAAAAATACTATTTTTTTATTTCCATTTGTATGTTTTGAATTTTTTATATTTTAATGCATGGGCATTAATTTCTAGCTGCTATTGAAACATCTATTTTTTCATTTAAAATAATTTATTTTGGTCTTTACCTTGTAGAATGATTTGAGAGAACGCTTTAGTGCAGCCAACAGTGCCTCCAAAATTTTGCAGGAACGAATTGAAGAAATGAGAACAAGCAATAAAGAAAAAGACAATACCATCATTCGACTAAAATCTAGGCTGCAGGATTTAGAAGAAGCATTTGAGAATGCTTACAAACTTTCAGATGATAAAGAAGCAAGACTAAAACAAGAAAACAAAATGTTTCAAGATGTGAGTAACAAAAAATGCTAACTTAATTACATGGTTGGCTAAAAGTGGTTTACTTAAGTCTTGTACTGTACAAGCTATTATTAGGACTTTTTCCAAGTTTATTTTGGTTTGGGGTACCTTGGCTATAGCTGTAGGTTTATACCCTCCTGGGGAGGCAGCTGGGTCTTGTCTTAAAGCAGAAAGTCAGAGCTCTAAAATGCTGGCCTTGCTCCCACACCGTCTGTCTTTAGCAGACCAGCTTTTGAGCTATCATGACGTCTGTCTGGCAGAKTAAAATATTGTGAACCAGATTTAGAACAAGTTAGATTGAATTTTTTCACTTTGATTTAATTTCACTTAAAATTTAGATTTCTTGGTTTAAGGGCATAGCTCAGTGGTAGAGCAGTTGCTTGGTGCACATAAGGCTCTATGTTTAGTCCCTAGTACTGCAGAAACACACCCTCCCCCAAAATGTGCTGGGTTTCTCTGTTCTCTCGACTAAAAGGCTCAGGGGTCACTCCAGTTAAACTGGGCTAACTGGGCTGCATGAAATAACCACACAAGAGACACAGATACCTTTTTCTTTGGGGTCGCTGTGACGGCTCCTCTGACCTTAAGGGTCCACAGAAAGAAAGAGAGAGMGAGCATGCGCTGACCCCTTTTATTGAGGAGAAGCTATTCAAATGAGGCAAGGGGTCAGGTTTCAGGAGGCTGAGTCTATCTTCATGATGTCCACTGTCAGCAGGTTGACTGACACCTGGGTAAACCACATCCAAGGGCACAGTAAGAGAAGGGGACACACACAAGGCACTTCCATGGAAGATTCTATCCTAAACAGGGCAAGGGGTTATATTACAAAGGAACAAGTGAGCGTAGCTTCACCCATGGGGCTGTAGCAAGACATCTACCTTCGGACCCAAGAAGGGTGGGGAAAGCTCTGCCACATTTCTGCCACTGAGCGCCTCAGCACCCAGCCGGGGAGTATAACCCAGTCACGTGTAAGGTTGGTCTCCCACAGAAATGTATTTATTTAACATTGATACTGGATGGTTGTAGGTTGTATCTTTTTCTTGTTTTTCTTAATGTCTTTTTTCAGATTATTATGGTACATAAGTAATCTGATACCTGATAGGTTTAGATGTGCCTCTTGTTCCTTTTTTTAAAAAATATATTTTTAGTTGTTGATAGACCTTTTTTTTACTTGTATGTGGTGCTGAGATTCGAACCCAGTGCCTCATGTGTGCAAGGCAAGCGCTGTACCTCTGAACCACAACCCCACAACTCTTGCATTTGTGATGAGCCGAGGTGAAATTGCTTAGAAGAATTTAACGTACCATGTAGATGCAAATAATTCTTAGTACTGTTTATAGCTGGGCGTGGTGGGGCATGCCTGTAATCCCAGCTTCTGAGGGGCAGAAGGTGGTGACTGAGGTAGGAGGCTCAGAAGTTTGAGGCCAACTTAACAAAATGAGGCCCCTGACCTATGTCTTTTTAAATAAATTACTTAGCTATGTGAAATTTTCAGCACTCTGCTTTTACTCTATTGAACAGGCAGCAAAATATAATGTGTAACAATTCTAAAAAACAACAGTATAGGGCTAGGGTTGTGACTCAATGTTAGAGCGCTCCCCTAGCACGTGGGAAGCCCTGGGTTTGATCCTCAGCACCATATAAAAATAAATAAATAAAATAAAGTTATTGTGTCCACTACAATTAAAAAACAAATGTTTTTTAAAAATGAAGGGGCTGGGGCTGTAGCCAAGTGGCAGAGCACTTGCCTAGCATGTGTGAGGCACTGGGTTCATCACCACATAAAAATAAACAAATAATATAAAGGCATTCTGTCCATCTACAACTTCAAAAAAATAATTAAAAAAAATGCAGAAAAGGTGGGGTTGTAGCTCAGTGGTGGAGTGCTTGCCTAGCATGTGTGAAGCACTGGGTTCAATCCTCAGCACCACATAAAAGTAAATAAATATAGTTTTGGAAATATATATATATATATATATATATATATATATATATATATATATTTTATTTTAGTTGAAGATAGGTAATTGAAGATAGTTGAATAAATAAATAAATAGATATAAACAAATATATATATTTTTAAAGATTAGTACAGATTCTACTTTTGAAAATACTTAAAAGGCCTTTACTAACATCATCATCATCATCATCGTTATTGTCATTATTTTTACTTTTTAAAAAAATTTTTTTGTAGTTGTAGAGGGACAGAATACCTTTATTTTATTTGTTCATAAATGATGTGGTGCTAAGGATCGAACCTAGTGCCTCACACGTGCTAGGCAAGTGCTATGCCACTGAGCTACAGCCCCAGCCCTGTTTTACTTTTGAAATTTCAAACTTAAAGAAAACTCACAAGCATAAATCAGGAATTGTTTCTGTGTTGCCTTTACCAGAATCACCAGTTAGTCCTCTATCTGCATGACATTGGCATTTTGGGAGGGTGTGAGCTGTTATTTTGTACACTATCCCTTAATTGATGTTGTGATGTTTAATTTTGTGATGCAGTTCTTTGTTTTTCCTTGTAGCTCTTAGGAGAGTACGAGTCCCTTGGAAAAGAACACGGACGAGTAAAGGTAATGGATGAGGCTGCCTGTCCTGGATTTCATTTGAGGCAAGAGCCCTGTCCTGGGGACTAAGGAGCCTGTCCTCCTCCTCCACTCCTCCCTTCCTCACCCCATACTGTTTGAATGGAACTACTTACTCTCTCTGGGTGGATACCCTTTTTTTCCCCCAAATGTCTGCCCTACTTAACCCACAAGTTTGTTTCATTAATTTAACAGACATTTGCTGACTGGCTCTTGCCTTTGTGATGAGTGGAGGTGAAATTGTTTAGAAGAATATAACTTCCATGTAGATGCAAATAATTTTTAGTTCTGTTTATAGCTGGACATGGTGGGTTATACCTGTAATCCCAGCTCCTAGGGGGCAGATGGTGGTGCCTGAGGCAGGAGGCTCAGAAGTTGGAGGCCAACTTAGCAAGACCTTGTTGCAAAATAAAATAGAAAGGCCTGGGGTATAGCTCAGTGGTGGAGTGCCCACCTAACATGCATGATGCCCTGGGTTTGATCCCCAGTACCACCAAAAATAAAAAATAAAGTAAAAATAAATACATGTATCCACACAGTTTACATTTACAGTTTTGATTTTTTCAAAACATGAGTGTTTTTTTGTGGGTATGAGTTTATGAGTTTATTCATTTTATCTGAATTCTTAATTAGAGATTTGTTTGGCATCTGCATATATGAATCAGTGAAATCTCACAATGTACTGAAAGTAGAGTTGAGGAGTTTCTGTTGCCTGGAATGCAGGGTTGTGAATAAGGTCAGTATGAAGGCCCATGTAGCTCCACAGCCCCTCCAGCCTGCCAAGGGCTCTAGGGGTTCAGGGATGACTCACACTATATGTCAAACCTCATTACTGCAGGGATCTGTTTTATCATTCTRTTAAGCTCTTAGTTATTTTTGTGGTTAAAATACATCCATTGGGATTGTTTCTAATTTGACAAAGCATAATGAACTTGACTTGGCATACTGAAGTGCTGTTGTAGGCCTGTGATCTGGGCTCTCTCTCCTTCCTCCTTTGTTGTCTGCATTGGTGCACTCTGCCCCTGAGCTACAGCTCTAGCCCTATTTATTTATTTATTTATTTATTTATTTATGGTGCCAGGGACTGAACCCAGGGACACTTAACCACTGAGCCTCATCCTCAGCCCTTTTTTGTAATTTATTTAGAGACAGGGTCTCACTGATTTGTTGAGGTTGGCTTTGAACTCATGATCCTCCTGTCAGCCTCCTAAGGTCTCATTAAAACTACAGAGTGTGCAGAGACTGACCTTGGGAATATTTGTATAATTTGTATAATTCAGAGCTAATTGGTTTGGTCTTAGTTTTGTCTCATGCATTTTAAAGGATACATCTGAATACTTCAGATATCTGAATTTTTTCTTTATTTTCACAGGATACATTAAATATAACTGAGAACAAACTGCTTGATGCACAAACTCAGATTTCTGATTTGAAAAGGTAAAATACCTCTAATTGTTCCTTTATGTGTCTGTATTAAAGAATTTTTGTTTTCTTGAGGATTTTTAAATAGTTTGAAAACTAGCTTTATCCTAGTCTTTCTAGTCTTTCTCCTGACGTGGAATACATTTGATCTTAGCCAGAGATTTTTTTTTTTAATTGTTGGTGAACCTTTATTTTATTCATTTATTTATATGTGGTGCTGAGAATCGAACCCAGTGCTTCACACATGCAAGGCAAGTGCTCTACCACTGAGCCACAACCCCAGCTCCCTTAGCCAGAGATTTTGAAGTGATTAGAACAGTACTGATGGTGATTGAGCCTCAGGGATGAGCACTACCCCAGACATTGAGTGTTTTCTAGCATTGGTAAGATCTGAGTGATATTTACCTCTGAAAAGAACTTCAGGAAGCAGTTAATGATCATGGGTTTTGGGTTTTTTTGGCACTGGAAATTAAACTCAGGTACTCCTACCAATAGGCTGCATCCCAGCCCTTTTAAATTCTGAGACAGGGTCTCACTAAGTTGCTCAGGCTGACCTTGAACTAGTGATCCTCCTGTCTCAGTCTCCTGAGTTGCTGGGATAGGTGCCACCATGCTGGCTCACTTATTTTTGTGATCCAAAAAGAAAATGAAAGTTTCAACCAAGTTTGTGGTGATCCACTTTCAGAAAAACCCAGTTTAGAGACTATATTAATCTGACTTGCTTAATTAAATCGGAAAAGAGTCATAAATAATCCATATTGCAAATGATTAGAAATATCTAAATTGACTTTAGAGCATATTTTACGTTTGTATTTGGATATAAATAATGTCCCTCATTTAGAAATTTTGCTGCTGCCTGAAGGACTCCTCACAGAGGAGGACAGACAGCTGTCTAGAGTTCTCATCTTCCTGACTCTGCCCTGTGAGCCATTCATTCAGTGAGAGCTTCCTTATCAGATTGGGATAAGCATCATCCCTAAGAGCTATTCTTTCTCAAGCCTTCCTTGCATCAGGGTGGGTGAGAATTCAGGTTTAAAGACATATACAAAGTTTAAAAAAACAGAAGGCAAGGATATCCTGCAAATAATAAACTGACCTGAGTATTATTCTGCCGGTAAACTTGAAATGGACTTTTATTCTGAACAGGGTACAAATGAGACAAACTGCTTATAAGTTTGTCTCATGTTGGGGTATTTTTCCCTTGGCCTTTTTAAAAAATTCCAGAGTTTTTTTGGGGGTACTGGGTATTGAACCTAGGGGCGCTTAACCACTGAACTACATCCTCAGGCCCCACCCCTTTTTATATGGTTTTTTTTTTTTTTTTGAGACAAAGTCTCACTTATGACCTCGATAAATTGCTGAGGCTAACTTTGAATTTGTAATCCTCCTGTCTTAGCCTCCCGAGTTGCTGGGATTATAGGTGTGTACCATCACATCTGGCTTAGAAAGTTCTTTTCAATAGCTGTTTTCTGTTTCCATGTTTGTGAAACTGTTACCTTTTATACTCTGCATGCACAAATACATATTTGTCACAAACATTAGGATGCAGTTTGATATTTTAATTTATTTTTATTTCATTTATACCCTGCATGTTTTTGATTTGTAATCAAAATTATATAAATTTTTTTACTTGCCCTATTAAGTCTATTTGTTGTTCCATTTTTATTTAGTTGTAGTATATGAAATGTTCCTTTGAACATTTTTGTACTTGTTTTTCTTTTTTTTTTTCCTGATTTTGTTCAGCTTTTAAAAATTTAATGATGGTAATTTACCATGAAAAAGGTTTATGGACAGACAACTCTTTTGTAATCTTTTCCAAGAGGGACTGCTTTGTAAGTAACTGTAGTTGAGCATATTTTCAATTTGTTGAAATGTACTTATTTTATTTTATTGCTTTTGAATTAGGACAGTCTCAAAACTTGAAGCTCAAGTGAAGCAAGTAGAGCATGAAAATATGTTAAGTCTTCGTCATAATTCTAAAACTCATGTGAGACCCTCACGTGCCAAGTAAGTTATTTTATTTAATCTGGGTAAAGCTAGAAGTAGGTACACACTTCTATTAAAATGAGGAGCTCATTGTCCAAATCATAAGAAAGCCATGGTTGAATATCCTTATAGAACTTGGATGTGTATAAGCTGGGCTCAGTGCCATATTCTTATAATCCCAGTGACTTGGTCCTGTCTCAAAATGAAAAATAGGAATGTTCTCAGTGGTAAAGTGCTACTTTACCAGTCCCCAGTACCAAATTTGAATCCCTGAACCAAAAAACAAACAAACAAACAAAAACTTAGATGTGTATAAAAAGTTACTGATTAGATAATGTCAGTGTTCCTACACATAGGCATTTACTAAAGTAAGGAAAGAGTAGGTTCAAGTTGGGAAAAGGAAATTTGGAATATTTTGTACTTGACTCTTCAACTGTGGGACCTTAGGCAATAACATTTTTTTCCCCTAAAGTTCAGTTTTATTTTCTGTAAAACTAAGCTAACATCTGAAAAGGTCTTTTAGCCCTAAAACTCCAAACATCTTATTCTTGTGTTAATGCAGAACTTGTAAAGATGGATCTGCATTAGGTTGTATGTATTTTTCTTAGTTCTTTCAGAATTAGCATTGCTATAATCTCAGAGTATTATTTTTTCTATCCCCACCCCAGTGGTACTGGGGATGAACCCAGGACCTCACACAGCCTGGAAGCTACATCTCTAGCCTTCAGCCTCTCAGGTTGCTGGGATTTCAGGCATGTGTTACCATGCCCAGGCTTAGAAGATTTTTGAGTGGTAAAATAATGTCATTTGATTTTTACTTTTTAAATATTTCTTCCATGAGGAAAGGATGGAGAGAAAAAAAGAGTAGAAACAGGGGCTGGGGATGTGGCTCAAGAGGTAGCGCACTTGCTTGGCATGTGCCAGGCACTGGGTTTGATCTTCAGCACCACATAAAAATAAAATAAAGATATTGTCTCCACCTAAAACTAAAAAAAAAAAAAAAGAAAAAAAAAGAGTAGAAATGGGGAGACTAGTTAGGCTACTGCAGCATTAGGAGAGGTGATGTTAACTGGATGGTAACCATAGGCATGAGAGATTCTGGAGATGAAATCCACAGAACATGGTTGTGAATTGGCTGGCAAGGCAAGAAGGGAAGGCTCAGAATAGCTCTTGATTTCTTATTGAACACCTAAATGTGACACATACAAAACTAGGGAAGGGATCAGAATTTCCATTGTGAATATTTTCGTTTGAGATTCACATAGATTCCAAGCATCAAGTGGGTAATTTTTTATATATATACTACTAGGGAGTGAATCCAGGGGCACTCAACCACTGAGCCACATACCCAGCCCTTTTTTGTACTTTATTTAGAGATGGGGTCTCACTGATTTGCTTAGGACCTCACTAAGTTGCTGAGTCTGGCTTTGAACTTGTGATCCTCCTGCCTCAGTCTCCCAAGCCTCTGGGATTACAGGTGTGTGCCACTACACCCAGTGGTAATTATAAACTTAAAGTTTGGAGCTAAAAGTAAGGTCTTAGGCTGGAATTGTGAATATTGAGCCATTTTTTTCTGGATGGTGCTGTAGCTACAGGATGGATAGGAATTGAGGGTGTTTGGTGAAAAGTGAGCTCAGCAAAAAACCCTGAAGAAACCTGTTTTGATACTGGGTAGAGGAGTTGGCAAAGGAATGAGAAAGAGCTGCTTGAAAACTGGGAAGACTGAAGCAGTCCCTGGTGCCGAGTGCTGCCCAGAGGTTCAGCAGTGTGAGGACTGACGGCATCTATTGGATTTGTAAGGTAGAGGCTGCTAATGCCTAGATTTGGGAAGGAGTGATAGAAGTCAAACCCATTTGAAGTGTATTAAAAAGTGAATGAAAACAATCTAAATGTCCAACACCTGGAATATCCATGTGTTGTAATATATTTATAGATGACACTATACCATGTGACAGAGGTTGGCAAACTACAATCTTCAGGCCGAATCCTGAAGAATAGTTTGTACATTTTAAATGTTTGGAAAAAATATTTCATGATATGTGAAAAATTTATGGAATTCAAATGTCAGTGTCTGTAAATAAGTTTTCATTGGAATGTAAGCAAGGTCATTCATTTATTGATTGTAGTTGCTTTTGCACAACTGCACCAAGGTTGAATAGCTATGATGTTTTTCTTTTTGAGGTGCCACAAGTCCAACTGAGGATATACGTGTTCCTAGGCAGTCACTCTACCACTGAGCTACATCTGCAGCCTTTTTTTTGTGTGCTTTAGCATGTGTACAGCTCTGTGTGTATCTTACGGGTTCACACAAATGTAGTAAAAGTATCAAAATATGCTGAGCACACATTTAGTAATAAATGGTTTTTTTTTTTTTTTTGAGGAAGGAAAGAATGAGTTTGTAGGGGGTCCCCAGGGACTTTAATTGCATCTGTAGTGTCTCTCTATGTAAACATGTAAAGGGACCAAGTGTAGGTGCATCCCTGCTATTTCAGCTACTAAGGTAAGGCAGGAGAATCTCAAGTTCAAGGCCAGCTTGGACAACTTAGGGAGACCCTGTCTCAAAAATAAAAGGATAGGAACTGGGGATGTAGCTCAAGGTAAAGCATTTGCCTAGCATGTATGAGATCCTGTGTGCAATCCCTAGAGCTGGAAAAAAAAATCTAAAGGATATGTAACAAATAATTAAGATTTCATAATATTGGATGGCTATTGTGTGAGTATTACCTGCATGTCTATGCATGCTTGCAATATTTTATTATTTTAAGTGAACAGGAACCAATAAAGAATGAGCATTCAAAATATAAAAGAATTTTTACAGCCTAATAGGAAAAATACAACCTCCTCAGTAAAAAAAATGGTAAAAGAATATCAATAAGCAATTTACAGAAATAGAAACCTAAATGGCTAATAGAAGTGAAGAGATGCACATTGTGATGAATAGGGAGGAAAGTACAAATTGGAACAGTAATAGGGTAGGGTCCTTGTCAATGAACTGGCCAGATGTACAACCTGATCATCCCAAAGTCCGGCAGAGATGTGAAGAAATAGGAACTCAAACTAGTGGTTGACTGGATGTCAGTGTAACTCATCTGGAGAGTGATTGACAATAGCCAGGAAGAGTGAAGAGGATGTATACACCCCAAATTCCATATTTCTATTCTTTTTTTTAATTCTAATTAGTTACACATGACATTAGGTTTTCTGTAGTGGTTGCATTTTGACACATTGTACACAAATGGAGCACAACTTCTCCATCCTTTGGCTGTACATGGTGCAGTGTCACACCAGTAGTGTAATTATACATGCATATAGGGTAATGATGTGTGTCACATTCTACTGTCCTCCTCATCCTACAATCCCACTCCTCCCCTTACTCTCCTCTGCACAATCTGAAGTTCTCTCATTCTTCCCTATCCCCCACCCACTAGGGATCACATCTGCTGATCAGAGAAAACATCTTCTTTGTTTTTTGGGGGGGATTGGGCTTATCTCACTTAGCATGATAGTCTCTAGTTCCATCCATTTACCTGTAAATGCCATAATTTCATTCTTTTTTAAGGCCGAGTAATATTTCATTGTGTATATGTACCACATTTTCGTTATCCATTCATATGTTGAAAGGTATCTAGATTGGTTCCATAGTTTGGCTATTGTGAATTGAGCTGCTATAAACATCAATGTGGCTGTGTCACTGTAGTATGCTGGTTTTAAGTCCTTTGGGTATAAATCAAGGAGTGGGTGGTTCCGTTTCAAGTTTTCTGGGGAATCTCTATACTTCTTTCCATAGTGGTTGCATCAATTTGCAGTCCTACCAGCAATGTATGAGTGTACTTTTTGCTCACATCTTCGCCAACATTTATTGTTGCCTGTATTCTTGATGATTGCCATTCTGATTGGAGTGATAAAAAATCTTAGAGTAGCTTTGATTTCCATTTCTTTGATTGCTAGAGATGATGAATATTTTTTCATATGTTTGTTGATCGATTGTATTTTTTCTGTGAAATGCCTGTTCAGTTCCTTAGCCCATTTATTGATTGGGTTATTTATTGATTCTTGATTTTACTTTTTGCGCTTTAGGAGTTTTGTTAAGAAAGTCAGGTTTCAAGCCAACATGATGAAGATTTGGGCCTACTTTTTTATTTCTATTATGCACAGGGTCTCTGTTCTAGTGCCTAAGTCTTTGATCCACTTTGAGTTGATTTTTTGCAGGGTGAAAGAAGTTTAATTTCATTTTGCTACATATGGATTTCCAGTTTTTCCAGCACCATCTGTTGAATAGGGTATCTTTCCTCCAAAGAGTATTTCTGGTGCCTTTGTCTAGTATGAGATAACCATAATTGTGTGGGTTTATCTCTTTATCTTCTATTCTGTACCATTGGTCTACATGTCTATTTTGGTGCCAATACCATGCCGTTTTTGTTTCTATTGCTCTTTAGTATAGTTTAAGTTCTTATATTGTGATGCCTCCTGCTTCATTCTTCTTGCTAAGGATTTCTTTGGCTATTCTGGGTCTCTTATTTTTCCAAATGAATTTCATGATTACTTTTTTCTAGTTCTATGAAATATGTCATTAAGATTTTAATAGGAATTGCATTAAATCTGTATAACAGTAGTATGGCCATTTTGACTATATTAATTCTGCCTATCCAAGAGCATGGGAGATGTTTCCATCTTCAAAGTTCTTCTTAAATTTCTTTAGTGTTCTGTAGTTTTCATTGTAGAGGTCTTTCACCTCTTTTTTTTTTTTTTTAGATTTGAATAAATATAAATAAATAAATAAATAAATCTAAATAAATCCAGACTTTTTGGCACATGCCTATTATTCCAGGTATTTTATTTTTTTTTACAGCTATTGTGAATGGGATATTTATTGATTCTTGATTGTAGGAGTCTTGTTAGGGAAGTCAGGTCCTAAGCTGACATGATGAAGATTTGGGCCTACTTTTTCTTCTATTATGCACAGAGTCTCAGTTCTAATTTCTCTTGCAGTAGATTCATCACTTATGTATAGAAATGCAGCACATTTCCATTCTTTTTTAAAAATATTTTTATTAGTTGTTGATGTATCTTTACTTTACCTATTTATTTATGTGTGGTGCTGAGGATCAAACCCAGTGCTTCACACATGCTAAGCAGGCAGTCTACCACTGAGCCACAATCCCATCCCAGCACATTTCCGTTCTTAATTATTTACCTTAGATCAGTTTTTACATGTGTTAATTGTAGCATTGTTGAATGGTGATATATTAGAAACTAAACTGTCATAGCCAGGAAAGAGGATAAATAGCTTGCATTCATACTGTAGATAAGTGAGTAAAATGATAAACTGTACATATAAACATGGATAAATCACAAACATAATGGTGAGTAGAAAGAGCAGTGTTAAAAGAATGTATACATTATGCCCTTATTTAAATGCAGCTATATATATAAAATCTTATGTCTTACAATGAAAAACAAATATGGCAAGATCTTAGCATCTGTTGAAACTGAGAGTGGGTAGGTGGGTGCTTGTTGTGTAGTATTCTTTGTAATTTTCTAAGAATGTTTGAGTATTTCTTAATTTAAACATAGGAGGATCCAGGCTTGTTGGCACATGCCTATTATTCCAGTGACTCAGGAGCCTGAGGCAGAAGAATACTAAGGTCTAGACCAGCCTGGGCAACTTAGTGAGAACCTGACTCAAAATAAACAACAATAAAGAGGTTGGGATGTAGCTCAGGGCAGAGTGCCTGGTTCAGTTCCAGTGACTCGGTGGCAGTGCTTGCTGGCATGCTGAAGACCCTGGGTTAGGCTCCTGGCACTGAGTATTGACAGGGAAACAGGTAAGAGGTAACTCCTGTTGCTGTGAAAGGGCAGAGAGGAAGAGTAAGAGGGTGCTCTTGTCTCAGGGTTTGTTTTCTCCTTGAAGTTGGGCCTGAGGTTGTCAGGGGGCTGAAGGCTGGGAGTTTTGAGRTAGGTGGAGACAAGGACGGTGTAAAGAGTCACCTTGGAGGCCTAGAGCTCACTGATGACAGAAAGGCATGTGGCCAGCCAGTGATCCAGCTGAGATGGCGATAGTGCATCTGCACAGTGGTGACTTCCAGCAGCGCTCAGCTGTGGAGGTGTGGATTGGAAATGAGCTCGCCTTCACTTAGAAGGGTGGATTTGCTGCCAGTCAGATGGTGTGATGGAAGGTGCAAGGGGCAGGAAGTCAAGGCCCTGAGTAATCACGTGGACTCCAGAGCAGACACAGAGGAGCTGGGAGGAGTGGCGAATAGGAAGGAGTCTAGGGCTGGGGGCCAGTGCTGCAGTGATGCCCAGGTTAGGAGTCTGTAGTGTTGGTATTTTCTGGGGGGTGTGGTCTCTGGTGACAACAGAGTTCAGTGATGTCCTCCAAAGTGCATGATTAAGAGAGGGTCAAACCACTGACAAAGGCATCAGAAACATTCTTTGGAGGAAAGATACCCTACTCAACAGATGGTGCTGGAAAAACTGGAAATCCATATGTAGCAAAATGAAATTAAACTTCTCTCTTTCACCCTGCAAAAAATCAACTCAAGGATAGCTCCTGAAGTCACCTAGTGTGAGGGCAGCAGTAAGTGTGGAGCAGATGGGACAGGTTCAAAGTCTAGCAAAGGGCTTGGGGTTAACATATAAAGGTGTGAACCTCAGACAAGCAGGTTTTTTATGATAACACAGAGACAGTTATAATCTAGAACCGTGTGTGCTGCTCAGTACAGTTGTGCTGATGGCTACGTGTGACTATTGAAATTGATTAAATTAACTTTTCTTGGGGGCAGGGGGCGGGAGGTTGTTGGGGGTTGCATCCAAGGGCACTTTGCCACAGGTACATTCCCTACCCTTTTATTTTGAGACAGGGTCTAGCTAAGTTGGTGAGGCTGGCCTTGAACTGGAGATCCTTCTTCCTCACTCTCTTCCAAGTCGCTGGAATTGAGATCATGTTGTATCACTGTGCCCAGCTAAAGTTAACATTTTAAATTAGCTCCTAGGTCTCACTGGCCACTCTTCAGGTGCTCAGTGGCTGCTGTACTGAATGGTGCAAAAGAGAACATTTCTGGTTTTGTAGAAAATTAAATTGAACAGCATTGGTCTGAAGGAACAGGGACACTCTGCTTTATCTCCTTACCTTGATTGCTGCAGGGGAATAGAGGCTGTGGGGTGTGCTAGGAGGCAGCTAAGGGCGGTTGAGAGCTCTGAGTACCTGAATCTTAACTGCAATTCAGGAATATACAAGAGTAACAGAAACCCAAATCTTAAAATCATAAAATAGAATTCATATATCTAAAATAGATTATTACATGTGGTTTTTAAGTCATTGTACAAATATGTGATACAGCCTGAAAGCAGATCGACATTTGTGCAGTCTAAGTTGAAGTGTGGTCTAAAGCCAAGTGCAAACCTCTCAGCGTTTCTTGTTCTGATAGCACGCTGGCAACCTCAGATGTCAGCAGGCGGAAGTGGCTGATACCAGGCGCAGAGTATTCCATCTTCACTGGCCAGCCTCTGGACATCCAGGACAGGAAGGTGGATAATCAGCTGGAGGGAACCTATGTTCCTGGGTAAAATAACTGCCACAAGGCCCATTTACAAATGTTATGTTTTCTTAGAGACTTGGTTGCCTTTACATGTTCAGAAAGCTATAAAGAGCCATCTCTCCCCCACCCCCATCCCTTTTGCAGTGGTAGGGATGGAATACAGGGCCTTGAGCATGCTGGGCAAGAGCTCCACCACTGAGCTACATCCCTAGCCCAAGAGCCAACTCTTTGGTTCTTTAATGTCTTAATTTCAATGACCTAGTTTTTAATCTTACTTTGCCAGGCTAATTTTTCTTCCTTGGCTCTGCAGTGATTCCCTGCCTGTGCTCAGGGACACAGCGTGGGCTTGCAGGTTCTGACAAGAGATCCAGAGATCAAGCCCCCATGAATAAGCTCAGCCCTGTCCCTCAGGGTGCTAGACAAATGTATTTCTGCATGTGCAGGATGTTAAAGGATTGGGAAGCAATATATGCACGATCAGTTTTAAGCATTTTCATTATAAAGCATGAAACCTCATGGCTGAGATTGTAGCTCAGTGGAACAGCACTTGCCTAGCCCACGTGAGGCACTGGGTTTTATCCTCAGCACCACATAAAGATAAATAAATACAGGAATTGTGTCCATTTACAACTAAAAAATATTTTTAAAAAGCATATGTACTCATTGTGCAGTATAATTGTCTGCTCTCCTGTTACTCCATTAACGACCCAGAACTCTGTGTAGACCTCGCTTGATCTACTCCAAGAATTTAGAACGTTTATTTCTCTAGTTCTGGGGGCTGCAAGGGCAAGATCAGACAGCAGCATATCAGAGGCTTGGAGAGGGCCTTCTTCCCATGGGCGTCTGCACATAGCCTGCCCTTGGTGTTGGCCAGGGAGAATGCTGTCGTGTTTCCTTCTCTTTTTTAAATGAGGGTATTAATCCCATCATGAAGGTACCACTCTTGTGACTTCATCTAGGCCTAATTGCCTCCCCCAAAGCTTCACTCCTAARTACCATCACTTAAGATTAGAATTTCAACCTGTACATTTGGGGGTGAGGCAGATGCATACAGGTATTCAGTCCATAGCACTTATAATTACAATTATTATTTAAGGTATTATTCTCCTCCTGAAAAGGATTCTTCTCCTGGAAGTTCACCAACAAGCTTCTTGATTAAAAAACAAAGAGAGACTTCAGACACACCGATCATGAAAGCATTAAAAGAACTTGATGAAGAAAAGATACTTAAAAATTGGGGGACACAGACAGAGAAAGAGGATACCTCAAGTAGTAAGTGTTTAGTTTATTCCTTGTTTAACAGACAGATTGATTTAAGTATTGTCCCTTTTCCCCCATTATATTACCTTCTTTAAAATTAAATTCTTGAATTAATATTGTGAAGTATTATTCAGCTTATGAAACTGCTGCTTCAGCCCCACTTCATAGACAATTGAATCTCCTATTTAATAATTTATCACAGTCCTGGCATAACATGTGCTTTTTATATAAAGCAAATTGCATATTATGTTTTGATTATTAAAAAGGCTTATGTGGCATTCTTTTTTTTGGAGGGGGGTAGTATAAGGGATGGAACTCAGGGCCTCATGCATGCTAGGCAGGTGATTTCCCACTGAGCTATACCCAGCCCTAATGTGGCATTCTTAAGGATGCTTGAAAAATGTCTACATACCTTTGTCTTGCATGCATGCACTAGAAAATTGTGTCAGACATTTAGTATTTTCAAAGTGAGGTGTAATGTTTCCTATTATTTCTTCCCTTTCTTAGTTATTGAGCATCTGTAAGAAGGATAAGAAGGGTCTCTAATGCTGTACGTTTTCACAGTTCCAGGTCACTAGTGCTTCTCTAGCTACCTGGGCCTGTGTGCTGAGGCCCGCCGCACGCCTTGCGTCTTTGGTGTTGCATCCCATAGCAGTGTCTCCTAGTAAATAAATTAGTAACCTACTTCCTAAAATAAACTCCTGAAAATTCACCTTGAATGCCAGTTGTAAACAGGAAGCCAGAGTGAATTCAGTATTAACTCCCATGTTTTTCTTCATCAGTCCTTTTCTATCATAGTGGTGCATTTACTAATAACTGTCACAGCTGTGATGGTGAGAAGAGGCGCTGTGAGCAGAGCATGTACTCAGTGAAGGCCTTGTGCAGGGTGACATCTGTGATAAAGGCAGGTAACTGAAAACAGGTTTGATCTGATTATTTTTTTTTTCCCCCTCACATTTGTCTGCTACAGAATTAGTGAATTCTCGGCAAACTGAATCTTCAGTCAATGCAAATCCTTCCCCAGAGAAATGTGCTCAGCAGAGACAAAAGAGACAGAATTCTGCTTCACAGAGATCATCATCTTTACCACCTTCAAATCGTAAATCCAGTACTCCAAGTAAGGATTAGACATGTGTGTCTCTTGGGCTGGAGAGAGTGATGTCTGAGTTATGTGTGCTATTTCCTAATGGTAGAGTGCCCTGGGCACATGATGTCTAAACACAATCATTTTTTTTTTTAATTTTTTTTTTTTTTTGAGAGAGAGAATTTCAATATTTATTTTTCAATTTTCGGCGGACACAACATCTTTGTTTGTATGTGGTGCTGAGGATCGAACCCCAGGCCGCACGCATGCCAGGCGAGCGCGCTACCACTTGAGCCACATCCCCAGCCCTAAACACAATTATTTTTAATAAGTAAAATTGTCTGGTTGCACAGATACTGCCAGCATCACTTAAGAAATCTCAAGTTTATTTAGTTAGAGGGGAGTGAGGGGAGGGGAGGGGGCCTGGGGGGTAGGAATGATAGTAGAATGAATTAGACATTATCATCCTATGTGCATATATGATTACATGACCTGTGCAACTCCACATCATGTACAGCCAGATGAATGAGAAGTTAATACTCCACTTATATATGATGTGTCAAAATGCATTTTATTATCATGTATAACTTATTAGAATTTTAAAAATGAGCTTTCACAAAAAAAGAAATCTCTTAAAGTTTATTTTATTTTTTATTTTTTTTAAATATTTTTTTAGTTGTAGTTAGACATAATACCTTTATTTTATTTATTTATTTTTATGTGTTGCTGAGGATCGAACCCAGGGCCTCAGATGTGCTAGACGAATGCTCTACCACTGAGCCACAACCCCAGCCCCTCTTAAAGTTTAAGTGAGATATTTTTGTCTGTCCAATAAATTATTTGCAACGGATACCACTTCAAAGATTTTGATGGTAGTAGACAGTTATTAAAAATTCATTCCAACAAATCAGTTCATGCTAGTCTAAAAACAGAAAGTGCTCTCATATATTTGACCTCAGTTACTTGGGATCAGTCACCTCTTCTTGGCCATTTACAGGTTTGTTTTAAAATTGAGGCATTGGATTTCTGTGCTCAGTTCCTCCCTCACGACAGCTGAGGACTTGTCCTCACAGTGCCATGCGGGTGTTGTGGGGGTGTTTGCTCTGCATTGCTTTCCCAAACATCAACAGGGGTTCCCTCTAGATGTCAGGGTTATAGGTTATTTTTAAAACATTTTTTGTATTCTTGTTTATCTCTCAGGAAGTTTTACAATGAAATTGTATTCTTTTTAAAATTAGGAAAAAGTCATCTGCTGAAAAACTTTGTTCTGCTAACATAATGCATGTTAAAGGAAAAGAATATTTTCTCTGTTTTCTTTTTTAGCAAAAAGAGAGATTATGTTAACACCAGTGACTGTGTCTTATAGTCCAAAGCGATCCCCTAAAGAAAATTTATCTCCAGGATTTAGTCATCTACTTAGCAAAAACGAAAGCAATCCAATTAGGTAAGTTCTTCAAAACTGGAATAGAACATACATTACTGATTTTTAAAATGTCAACTTATGCCTCTGGCTGTCAGTAATTTTTCAGTTACCAGTGGGAGTTCTGTGGGTTTAAATCATTTACATCAAAGTCATAGTAAAAATAAAACACTACAGTGTGAGGAAACAGTTCTTAACCATGTAAACTTGCTTCTGCTAGACTTTTTAGTACCACCTCAGCATCCCATGCAGCTTTTGGATGTAGGACAAGTTTTTTTTTTTTTTTTTTTTTTTAATTTTCTGAAAAGGTTTTATGACACAGGGAAACTTTTGAACCATTTGAGTTAGAACATGGGCTGCACAAGGATGGCCTTGGCACCAGATACAAGTTCACCTGCTCCTGAGCAACTGTCCTTTCCATGATAGGGGCAGGCCTTGGGGAGGGGAGGACCTTGCTTTCTGGTCCATAAGGTTTCGGGAGGTCACTTAAGCACACTGAACCTCAGTTTTTTCTTCTTAAGCAGGGTTGGTATCGTTATTACCATTTATTATTTAACACTGTTATAAAATGAGATGACATAGCTGGGTACAGTGGCACATGCCTTTGATCCCAGTGACTCAGGAAACTGAGGCAGGAGGATCTCAAGTTCAAGGCTAGCTGCAGCAACTTAATAAGGCCCTAAGCAACTTAGTGAGACCCTGTCTCAAAAAGTGTTAGGGATGTGGGCTCAGTGGTAAAGTGCTCCTGGGTTTAATCCTCAGTACCGGTGGGGTTGGGGATGAAATTACATAATGTTTGGGTAAATGCTTTAAGTCTCTAATAAGTAAATATATATACATACATATATATTTTTGGGTGGGGGGAGGGGGGTAGTCCTGGGGATTGAACCCGGAGGTACATAACCACTGGCCCACCTCCCCAGCCCTTTTTTATATTTTATTTAGAGACAGAGTCTCGCTAAGTTGCCGAGTTTGGCTTTGAATTCACGGTCCTCCTGCCTAAGCCTCCAGAGATGCTGGGATTATAGGCATGTGTCACCATGACCAGCTCTAGTAAGTAAACATAATTTGTGTTAAAAAATAATCATTTGAAACAGGAATGGTGGTACATGACCGTGGTCCCAGCTACTCAGGAGGCTGAGGCAGGAGGATCATAAGTTCTAGTCTAACCTCAGCAACTCAGAAAGACCCTGTCTCAAAATAAAAAAAATAAAAACGGCTACGGATGTAGCTCAGTGGTAGAGCACCCCTGGGTTCAATCCCCAGGACCAAAAACGAAAATAAATATTTGATTTCAGTTTTAGAAGATCACGTGACCAGCTTTTTTAAAAGAAGAAACTATATAAATATGTGACTTAACTGGATGCAAGCTCATCTTTCTAGTGGAGATAGGGAAAATTAGTTAACATTTTTTTCTCACAAGTAACTTGCTTCATTCAATAGATTTGATATGCTTTTGGATGATTTAGATACTGTTCCTGTGTCCACATTACAACGAAATAATCCAAGAAAACAGCTCCAGTTTGTTCCTCTAGACGACTCAAAAGGTATCTTTTCCCACAAAATTATTACCTATGGGGGTAGTCATTTTTTCCAAGAGTCCAGTATCTTTTCAAGTTCTAAATATTGTCTCGTGATATCCTATGCTCACATATTTTCTACTCCAGGGTCTCTAAAAGCAAGCATTCGTGATGCTTCATATTGTTTTTTTTTTTTTTTTTAAAGAGAGAGTGAGAGAGGAGAGAGAGAGAGAGAGAGAGAGAATTTTTTTTTTTTAATATTTATTTTTTTTTAATTCTCGGCGGACACAACATCTTTGTTGGTATGTGGTGCTGAGGATCGAACCCGGGCCGCACGCATGCCAGGCAAGCGCGCTACCGCTTGAGCCACATCCCCAGCCCCAGCTTCATATTGTTATGTCAGTGCTGTTATTCTCATTGGAAAGTTGGGATGCTGAGATATGGGGATGTTAATGTTTAATTACCAGGGCTGTACTTTCCAGTTATTCTCTTTACTTTTAAACTCTATAATTTATAAGCAACTTAGGCTTTGGGTAATTTTTTTTCTTTTTTCTCATTGTATTTGAGTTTGGAATAAGATAATATATATGATGAAATCACTCGTGTAGGCCCTCAGGATATTAACTGTTCAGGGTTGGTTTATGTCCACTAGAACGTGATGAGTTTTGTTTAGTTTTTAAACTTTTTTTGTTGCTTTGAATTTACTTGAAGTCCAGTTACATTTATGTAGCATTTGCTTAAGGGAAATTCCCTTCACTTAGGGAAGCTTGAGGGTTGACAAACTAAGAGTAAGGCTTGTAGAGTTCCTTTGAGAAGAAGCACTGAGTACTATGTATGCTCGCTTTTGGGAAAATTGATAAGAAATTTCTTTGTTTTCTGACAGAAAAAAGATATTTAGAAAATGCCACTGACAACCATGGTAATCATAACTCTTGCTCTGAATCCTTGCCAAATGGAATGAAGAAAGCATCTGTGAGATCGGCCTGGGAGAAGAATAAGTCAGTTAGCTATGAACAGTGTAAGCCTGTTTCAGTAACACCACAGGGTAATGATTTTGAGTATACGGCAAAAATTAGGACCCTAGCTGAAACGGAACGATTTTTTGATGAACTTACAAAAGAAAAGGACCAGGTAAAATTAAAAATATTTTTTAAAAAATATTTCTCTGAACTAAGTGCTTATGTCTAAGAACTAGTTAGAAGGGAATTATTGAGTCAGCCTCTACCCAGGGAATTACCCCAGTACTGAAGGTCACATATTAGAAATATAATTGACAGAAGAAACTCACATTAAGCCACAATGGACAAGAAGAAAATATAAGGCTGAAGTCTTTTCCTTCCATTCTATGTCATAAACCTCTCCAGTAATTAGAATAATTTTGTTTTTATTTAAATTTTTTGTGTTAACAGATTGAGGCAGCACTAAACCGAATGCCTTCTCCTGGAGGAAGAATCACTCTGCAGACAAGATTAAATCAGGTGGGATGTCTGGCTGGACTCTGCGTTAGAGGCTTAGTGCTAGTTGGTGCTCCACTTATCCAGGGCAGTAAACTCAGGGCACACTGAAGCAGTGTGACACTTCTTGGTGGTTATAGTCATTTTATAACTAACTGTGTGCGGGCTTTACATGCTAGCTTTTAGGAGTGAAAACTGATTTTACCTTTAGGCTTAAGGAAAATGGTGTTCATATCATTATAACTTGGGAACAAATGGCAGTGTTTTATGTTTTTTTTACATTTTTTTTTCCGGTGTTGAAGATGGAACCTAGGGCCTCTTCCATGCTAGGCAAGTGCCCTACCCCTGAGCTACCTTCCCCAGTCCAGTGAGCACCTTTGAACAGATTTCACATTGTTAAGCTCATGCCCTTATGTTAAGTCTCATTTTCTGTTTGCCATCCCATCTCTGCCCATATCTGACATTTTTTTTTGAAGCCCTTCCTGTGTGGTAAGCTTGGGAAAAGCTGCATTTTTGCAGTTGGAATGACCTTAGAGGTTAAAAAGGGCAAAGAGCTAGAGAAAAGCTCTGATTCCATTACCAGGCAGGAGGTGGTGCAGGYATTGTGGCTTCTGTACATCTTTTCAAAGAGAATTATGAAATGATGAGACATTTTTAAAAATCTGCTTTTAGTAATATTGTATACATGACAGCAAGTATATATCTCTTATTGCTTTCCAGTGCCTTAACTTCAGTTAAAGTTCATTTTCAGAAAGAACCAAAGAAAATAGGACTTTTTCTAGGGCTTGTACTCTACCTTCCATTTTTTCTTTCATTTTTTTAATGTTCTGAATTTTTTATTGAATAATTTATAAGAATCAATATAGGAAACTCTCAAAATAGTTTAGTAGGAATGCAGAAGGAAAACTGGATACTCTTACTATAAACCAATCTGAAATACTTAATAGATTTTTATATAATGAACATTGTAAGTTATTTCTGGCTCTTAAAATAAGATTTAAAGGGCATTAGTTTTTGTGCATGCATGTCAGTGCTGCTTCAATCCACTAAAAACAAATGATAGCAAAAAAAGGGTCTGAAGATGTTCACATGATTCATAAGTGAAAAAAGAGATGAGAAATGTTCAGCTTCACAAATGAATAAGAATGGTACACATTTAAACAAAGACATCAACTTTTTATTAGCAGGAATTTTTTGGGCAGTGGTACCAGGGATTTAACTCAGGGGCACTCAACCACTGAACTACATCTCCAGCTCTATTTTGTATTTTATTTAGAGACAGGGTCTCACTGAGTTACTTAATGCCTTCCTTTTGCTGAGGCTGGCTTTGAACTTGCGATCCTCCTGCCTCAATCCCCCGAGCTGCTGGGACTATAGACATGCACCACTGTGCTTGGTTTATTAGCAGGAATTTTTTAGAAAATGAATTCTTAGATGTAGAAAAGTTTATTTCCATACACAGCAGGTAGAAGTAGAAATTGTCTCAAACCTTCTGGAGTACAATTTGACATATATCCAAACCCTCAGAATTTTACATTTCTTCAAACCTAACACTTTTTTACTTCTGGGGATGATTCCTAAGGCAGTATTTACAGATACTGCAAAGAGAAATGTTTAAGAAATATATTGTTCCAGGCGTGGTGGTACATGCCTATGAATCCCAGTGACTCAGGAGGTTGAAGCAGGAGGATTACAAGTTCAGAGCCAGCCTCAGCAACTTATCTCGAGGCCCTGTCTCAAAATAAACGTAAAAAAGGTTGGTATTTGGCTCAGTGGTAGAATACACTTGGGTTCAATCCATGGTACCCAAAAAAAGAAGAAAAAATGTATTGCAATCTTATTTATGGGATTAAAAATTCTGAGCAACCTAAATTTCTATTAAAACTTTTTTAAAAATTCCTGGTTTTATATATTATCAGTGATGGAATAGTGTTTATTAATTTAAAAGGGTATTGTAGAAATATATTTGATAGCATGGCAAGAAAGTTCAAATGAAAAATATTTTGAAATATTAATTTGATTTAAGTTTGATTCTGTTTTTATTTTTTTAAAGTGTGCCTATATACAGAAAATGTATTTTACGTGTTTAAATTAAACAATAGTTAAATCAGGTTTTGTTTTTTGTTTTTGGTATCAGGAATTGAACCCAGAATGCTTTACCACTATTTCCCCAGCCCAATTTATTTATTTATTTATATTTTTATTTTTTTGGTACTGAGGACTGAACCCAGGGCTCTTACCACTCTGGCTTTGAACTTGTGATCCTCCCGAGCTGCTGGGATTACAGGCATGTGCTACCTCACAATGCTGTTTTTTTCCTTTTTTAACTTAGAAATTTTTGTCTAAAGAAAGCTATTTGATTTTGTGTAAGTGGGATACAGCACTGATCTCATATGCCCTGCTCTTGTACTGTTCTCATTTTGTCACAAAGCAGTATCCCTTTCTGGTTGGCTCTCCTGCTATTTCTGTAATTTCCATATACTGAATGTGCCAGACATGTTGAGACTATTATAAAGGGCAGCAGTTATTTTAAAGGGTTGAGAAGCCTATTCATATTGTTTAGTTTAAAATAAATCAATAAGACGATTTGTGTTGAAAGCAAAATAATCTGCAATCTTAATGTTTATATTAGCTCTTTTGCTACAAGAAAGGTCAGTTTTGTGGTAATAATAGAACCAACAAAGGTGATGTAGAATTCTCATTACTCTTTCCCCATTATTTTCACCTAGGAAGCCTTGGAAGATCGTTTGGAAAGGATCAACCGAGAACTGGGCTCAGTTCGAATGACACTAAAGAAGTTCCATGTTTTGCGCACCTCTGCAAATCTTTGAGATTTGTAGCCATTAAATTTTGAGACATTTTGTTTGCACTAATGTATAATTATGCACTCAGAAGAGGCGAGCTATTTTGTACTGTTTCTAAGCCTTCAAACAGTAGTTTTACAATCATGCTATTCTTACACCTGCTATTTTATACTTCAGATGGCCACATATTTTCAAGATATTTTTGTTATGCTCAGGAATCTCTTCTATATTTTACTATTTAAAAAGCATTATTTTTAAATAGTATATCTTCAATTTATATCGAGAATAAGGAAATGTAAACAGGGCAGGCAGCTTGTTTCTAAACAAATAGTGTTGTCCTTTTACAATGAACTTTGCACACCAGTTTTATAAACTTGTTCTACATTGTAAATATAACTCATTTTTTTTTATAAAAATAAATGCTTAACAGCTTCCATAACGACAGACTAACACATGCTGAATACATTTTAGCATACCTTTCAGTGGTGTGGAGGTTTACAAAAAATGATGATACAAGTCCTATTGGAAACATGTTTTAAAGTAACTATCAGATAGTAATACTGGATTATTGGAAAGTTTTGAAGGCTCCATAAATATTAGTCATTTTATTTCCCTAAAACCTTATTGTTTATGAGGAAATAAATAAACAGAGGGATATAATTCTCTAATTTTGTCTCGTATATAGTACTTTGAAAAAGCAATTGGAGAGCTGTAGGCCTCTGCTCCCCATTCTAATCTGACTTGTATCCCCTGGACAAGAAAGGCATGGGTAAAGCCTTGATGAGACACAGGGACATACCCTAGCCATCTGTGTCACCCCACGAGGAGCCAGTGGGACCCTGGTTTCCTTACAGCAGGTGACTTCGGCTGCCAGTCAGTTATCTTCCAGGCCTTTTCACCCCTCTCCACCTCCTCCACCCATGCCAGAAGAAAAAACAAATACTCCAGTTGTCTGTGCTTCAAGATCCCATGGTTTGGACCAGTGCTCTGCCTGTTTGTGGACAGGGAATGTGTCAACAGAACCTGCTGCCGTTGCTTGACCTGGCTAGAGGGCTGCAGCCCACTGTCTGGGCAGTGCTTCCTGGTTCAGAAGCAGCCTGTGGGCAGCAGCAGGTTAGGATGGCACTGCTTAACCTCCAAAGTTTTTGCTGGCCAGTCAGACCTAGTGCCCACACATTCAAGCTCAGCATGAGTTGGTAAATAGACTGATTAGACACAGGGACATAAACAGAACTGATTCCCACTGGCAGTGCTCAGGTTCTAAATCCTGGTTTGCTTTTGAGCGTTTTCTCCCCCTTATGTGGCTCTTAAAAATATGTATTTACAGTGCACCAATTCCACTCAATGACTCCTCAAGGTATGCATGCCTTCCTGCAGGATATCCAGTGGTTGTTGAGCACCTTTCACCCACATCACCTGTCTGATCTCCAGGGCTAGGCCCACATCCCTGCTCCCTTCTCCCTGTGGGGATTCTTAGGCAGGAAGAAAGACCCTTGGGACGGAGCACCTGAACTTTTGCACTCAGCTTCTGCAACCAGTTGAAGACTTTGAGCTAATCAGAATTACTTATCAATAGAATGAAGTGCCTTCCTTCTTGATTTTGTCTTTTAGCCCCCCACCCCAAACTTCTAGTTAATAGTAAAGAAGAAGTTCATTTTAACAGCTTGGGTGTAAACCTAGTAAAGGTGTTGGCTTTATTGGTGATATTCCCTTTAGTGTGTGTGTATATATGACATTCAAAACTAACTAAAACGGGTGCAGTGATGCATGCTTGTAATCCCAGCAGCATGGGAGGCTGAGACATGAGGATTGCAAAGTTCAAAGCCAGCCTCAGCAATTTAGTGAGACTCTGCCTCAAAATATATATAAATAAAAAAAGGGCTGGGGATGTGGCTCAGTGGTTAAACACTCCTGGCTTCATTCCCTTGTTATCTCCCCCCCACACACACTCAAAAAAAATAAAAAATTGGTAGAATATTTCATTGTCCCCTACTTTAAAAAAATTTTGTTGTTGTTGTTGATGGATATTTATTTATTTACATGTGGTGCTGAGGATTGAACCCAGTTCCTCACACATGCTAGGAAAGCATTCTACCACTGAGCCACAACCCAAGCCCTGTCCCCTACTTTTATTGTAAAGACTACTACATTCTTAAGAGTAAGGAAGTTGTCATTTCTTGCCAAGGAGTTATCTTCTGAGTAGCCTATAATTGGCTTATTCCAAAAAAGGCATTAAGCTCCATCAAAACATCTTCTGTGCCTCTCCGAAAGCATATGCTTTCATTTTTGAAGTGTGTAATAGATTGGAACTATCAGTTACTTATTTTAAAAAAAAAATTTATTCTTTTTTTTTTTTTTCATAGCTGTAAAGAAGGGACCCCAGGGACATTCTTATAGCTGTCTTTCCCTAGGTGATGAATATCTTAGGAATGCTCCAGGGGAACACACGTGGGCCTAAGGTAGGAAAGGTGGCAGTCTTAAAGAGCATCCATTATTACCCCAGGGAGGTAAACTATTTTTGTTGCTGGGGCTGTGTTTCAGTGGAAAACCAAAGTGAACCTTCCACTTCTGGGAAGTGCCTTCTAAAATGCAAATGGCAAGTCACCTCTCCTGAGGTCCAGTTTTGCCCTTTTCTTCCCCATACAGAGCCTATCTGCAGGAGCCAGCAGTGGCTCCTGGCCACATCTCCAGCTGGAGCTGGAGCAACTATAGCTCACAGCCAAGCTGAGGCAGTGCACAGCTGGGCACAGGGGTTGGAGAGGGGAGACTTCGAGCCAGGCAGACCAAGGTCACACCATGGCTCAGGTCTGCTTTCCCCAGCTGTGATAGGATCCCTTTCATTAATGAAGTTCTGTCAAGGGCCTGGTGCTTAATAAGTGTGCATAAATAATACCTTCAGATTCAGTATGAGTTAAGTGGGGTTTTAAGGGAACAGTTGCTTTTGCTCCTGCCCCCCGTGATACTAGGAATTGGACTCAGTGCCTCACACCTGCTAAGCAAATGCTCTACCACTGAGCCACAACCACAAGCCAAAAAAGGGTTTTTTGTTTTGTTTTGTGTTATTGGGGATTAAACCAGTTGGTTCTCTACAACTGAGCTACATCCCACCCAGCCCTTTTTACTTTGTTTTGAGGCAGGGTCTCTAAATTGCTCAGGCTGGCCTCCAACTTTCAATCCTCCTGCCTCAGCCTCCTGAGTCACTAGGATTACAGGTGAACTCCACCATTTCTTTTAAATAGGATTATATCCAAAGCAATGACCTAAAAAAAAAAAATACATCTTCTGTTGGCATTTCTGTTGGGGGTCTAAGATGGTCTTGCTCCTTGAAAAGAAAGTGAGAAAGCGAGAGAAGGGCAAGTAAGAAATCGAGTAAGAAATGAAGGGAAGAGACCAGGCAGAGATCCACACAAAGCTTTATTTCAAAGCTGACAAATAAAGGCCGTCTTTCTATAGAGAGGAGAGAGGCCCCGGGATGTTTGGAGGTTCAGCTTTTGTGGGGTAGGGGTTTGGAGTTGGAGCTATGGCACTATGGGATAGGTTTAGGGCTAGGCAGGTGGGAATGGCATGGGATTGGTTTAGGTTGACGGCATCATGGGGCTTTCCAGAGCAAAGGGGTCCTGTCCTTCTGAGATTGGCTTAGGGTTATGGTACCATGGGGTAAGTCACTACCTAGGGGGTGGGGGTGGGGAGTTCAGGTAAGAGGAAGTACAGGAAAGTGAAACTTAATATCTTGTAGGATGGCAGTTAACATTTAAAGTGGCTGCTCAATGTTAAATCAAGACCCTATTGATTTGAAATAATCACCCTTTGCATGAAAACGTGGGTTTTCTTGAGTCTAAAGGAACGTTCCTCTGGTGTGGGTTTTGTTGTTCTTAATGACTAAAAAATTTAAAATGGATAACCTATCAAATGTTAGTTCAGACAGTAGTTTGATCTTAATAAAATTGGTGATTTGGGAATTTAGAAATAAATACAGATTGTTTTCCTAAAAGTTATTGCCACTGCAATAAAAATAACTTTTCCTTCAAGTGTTCCATGAGTAGACCTCTACAGGTGATGGGGTGGCCTTGAACAGGACCATGTGAAGGAAGTACCAGCCACTGGGCCCCTAAAGATTTAGAGAGGGGGCTGGGGATGTGGCTCAAGTGATAGCACGCTCGCCTAGCATGCACCACATAAATGTAAAATAAAGATATTGTGTCCACCTTAAAAAAAAAATTTAGAGATGACCACTTGGAAATTGATAACCAACCAGAGAGTGTTTGCCTTTTAAATTCCAGGAAAGTCAGGTGATTTGGTGAATGCTGTTTGAATTCGGAACATTTTATTACATGTATAGATGAAAGGTTTATATGTAATAAAATGAAAGGTTTAAATGTAATAAAATTAGACATTTCATCCTTTTAATTTTTAAATAATAACAGTTTTTACTAAATTTTAATGTTTATTTGCTCTGCATGTCTGAGAACCAAGCTTTAAAAAATAAATGTAGCTGGGTGTGGTGGCTCACACCTGTAGTCCCAGCTACTTGGGAGGTGGGAGGATCACTTGAGTCCAGGAGTTCAAGACCAGCCTGGGCAACGTAGTGAAACTCAGTCTCAAAAAAAAAAAACTGGGTATAGTGGTGCACACCTATAATCCCAGCGTCCGGGGAGGCTGAGGCAGGAGGCTCACACATTCAAAGCCAGCCTCAGCAATTTAGTGAGATCTTTTCTCTTCTCTAAATAAAATATAAAAAGGGCTGGGGATATTAACTCGGTGGCTAAGTGCCCCTGGGTTCAATCCCCGGTATTAAAAAAATAATAATAAAATAATTAATTAAAAATAGATGTATATCTAGAGCCCTTTAGGAATCATAAAGGTAAATCATATTTGTCATAAGTGAAATATGTCTGGTTATGAGACTTTTTGGGTCTCACTAAACTGATTATATTGCACAATTTTGCTGGAAATAATTTCCTGCCCTGTCAAGAGCTCTGGTTTGATAATGTATTAAAAGATACCAGTATTCTTAGGGCCTGTTTCTAAGCCTTTTCTCATCTGATTTGTGCTTTATCTCAGTAGAGACCTCAGCTCTATGAGGAATCAAGCCATAAATTTGCACTTGCTGGACGTTGTGTACCATGTTGTCACTATGACTACAGATTTCAAGGACAATTATGTATTTAACACTTTCACAGTGACCAATAATGTGAAAAAAATGCTTCACATATAGTGCTCTGATGGGTAGAAGATGACAGTGCTTGTTGCAGTTGCTTTAAATCTAGTCAAACATTGGAGTAATGAGTCATCAAGCTCCACGAGACCAGGGATCATGTCATCTTTCTCAAATATGGCACATATGGACATTTAATAAATATTTGTGGATGTGAACTGTCTTATGGTATTAGTGTATTTATTCATACCTACTTTGGAGGTACTGGGAACTGAACCCAGGGATTCTTACTTCAGAGCTATATCCCAAGCCCCCCCTTTAAATATATATATTTT